CCTAACCCTAACCCTAACCCTAACCCTAACCCTAACCCTAACCCTAACCCTAACCCTAACCCTAACCCTAACCCTAACCCTAACCCTAACCCTAACCCTAACCCTAACCCTAACCCTAACCCTAACCCTAACCCTAACCCGGCTGCCGTGAGTCGATAGTCGGTCACTCATGGTCATGGTGGGCATTCGTCAATTGTGTAGAGCTCTCTTGCGCTGATTTTAGGTTTCGACTTTGGAATTTCCTGGGCGCCGGCGCTCAGGGGTGTAGGGCAGTTGCCTCGCAAAACCTTGTGTCAATTAAGGTTACAGTAGACTGCGTTGAGTAACTGCGCCAGCAAGCGGCAAGTTGCAACACGTACTCGTTTGTGCAATTGCTCTTCGTAAATATCGAATCGCTCATAGCTATAACGCTTTTGCTCGCTCAACTTTCAAGCAAACCCACGGGCCACTATCGCTGTTGCTCACGCTTCCTTTCATTGCTGACTTTCTCATTGATTCCTCCAGCTGCATTTATGCCTCGACGTAGAAGACTTGAATATCGCTGCAGGTGTCCTCGACATGGCTCCTCCAAGCATGGCCAGATAGTCAGCAAGAAAACGTACTTTCGACATCGACGTCAATGGCAGGGAATGAGGGCGTTACTGAAGACTGCACCTTCGAACATGTTTCCAAGTGGATCCGATCATGAAGTCCTGGTGTACCATGCTCAGCCAGAGATGGGAGATCAGGACGGAGAAGTCGATACTGCCTTCAATATCGAGTGGGATGATGATTCAGCAGATGCTGACACTTCGCTGGTGGGAGTAGCTGCCATGACGAATCAGGAGGAGCACGAGGAGTACGAGTCTTCTGAGGACGAGACAAGTGAGCTAGTGCTTGATGAGTCGTCTCGGGCCGAGAGCATGAACCTTGGAGAGACTTGCGCTGCAGGCGTGTGGGTCAATGCTCAAGACGGCTCATCCGATCTGGACAGTGCGGGCGAGGAATCTGGTTACGAAGATAGTGGAAACGTCAACCACGCTCCTCCCCAAGACGAGAGCCCTCATGACTCGGTGCAGATGCTCCTCGATTCCTACGATTTCAACTTTGAAGCTTTGCAATACAACCATGAACTGGAGACGGACGTCGATGTGGAGAGAATGGTGAAGTTGCTCTTTTGGAAGACGCACTACAATACTACGGATCGCTCATACCAGCATCTACGAGGAATCATGGGAGAAGATGTCCCTACGCTTGATCGAGCCATCAGAACTCTCGCCAAGATCACCGGCATTAAGGCAAAGATCTTCGATTGCTGTATCAATAGCTGTATCGCATACACTGGCGATTTGAAGGATCTCGAGATATGTCCCTGCGGAGAGCCTCGAAAGTTCAGTCATCGTCAAGAAGAGCAATCGCTACCTCTTCCAGCTGGTGTCTTCGTTGATGGGAAGTCATCACGCAACAAGGGCAAGGCCACTCAGACAGGACGATCGACGTTCTTGTACATTCCTGTCATCCCTCGCCTCGCTCTTCAATGGGCGAACAAGCAACGGGCTACGGAGCTGAAGAAGTACGTGAGAAAGCTCACTGTCGAGACGCCATTTCATGGGGTAAGGGATTTCTGGGATGGGAGACTCTTTCGCACGCTGAAGCGTACAGGCAAGTGCTTCAACGATCCACACGATGTTGCCTTTCTGTTGGCTACAGATGGCGTGCAGCTCATTCGACAGAAGACCCATGGTGTTTGGCCTATTCTGCTCGTCAATTTGAACCTGGATCCAGAAATCCGCTACCTCAAGGAGAACATGCTGCTTGTGGGTGTCGTACCCGGCGCCAATGAGCCCACCGACCTGGATTCGTTCTTGCTTCCTCTCATCGAAGAGTTTGAAGCACTGTACGAGGGCATCAATGGTGTGTTCGACGCATCGAGGAGTGAGGTCGTGGGCTGTCGCACTTTCAAGATGAGGGCCTACATCTGCGCTGTTGCTGGTGATCGTCCCGCGATAAAGAAGTTGATGCAAACTGTGGGACACAGCGGTCGGTGCCCTTGCTGGATGTGCGAGTTTGCTGGGACGAGAGTCAAGGCTGCTCAGCATAGTTACTACCCCCACAGCCCATGCACAAACATGCATCGTCCGCCGGAGGTATGGGAGAACCGCCAATGGGACCCAGAACATCTACCGTATCGCAAGAACATGAGGCAAGACATCATGGATGTTGCTGCAGCGAATGACACTGAGCTCCGTACTCGTACTGGACTGTCTGGATTTGCCGTACTTCACAGGCTTCCAACACTCCATTGGCCCATGAGCTTTGGCATTGACGTCATGCATTTGATCTGCGATAACCTATGTCACTTGCTGCACAACCTCTGGGATGGACGATTACCGGCTGGCACTCACGCCCCAGCACCTGACAGGCCGGGTGGTGACCGTAACGCTCCGCCGAGACCCACTGGCCCTTTACAAGGTGCTAATCCCGACGCTGATCCTCGTGACGGTGATGCTGACACACAAGCCGTCGGTACTCAACCTGTCGGCACACAAGCCGGCGGCACTCAGGCTCGAGGTAGGAAGGCTCGCGCTAAAGACCCGTGGGTACTGACTCCGAAGATGTGGGAGGAGATTGGAGAGGACATGAGAGCTTGCCGAAGGTACATACCGAACGCCCTGGGTCGTGGTCCTCGCAATATAGCGAAGCACCCTGCTGGTTTTCGTGCTACAGAATGGTCTCTGTGGATGACATTGTATTCTGTCCCTCTGCTCTCGGGCCGATTGCCCGAGGCCTTCTTGAGTAATTGGGAGAAACTTTGTCGAGTTTACGCCATGTCTATCGAGTTTGAAGTCACCCAGGATAAGCTGAGCACCATTCGAACGCTCTACAAGGACTTTGTCATGGAGTATGAGGAGTTATACTACCAGTACGATTACAACCGCCTCTCAGTCTGTCCTTCTTCGATACACATGCTACTTCACGTGGGGGATTCCATGGAATGGCTAGGACCTGCTTGGGTATACTGGGCCTTCCCCATGGAGCGTGTGAATGGTATGATTGTCCCTCAGGCTAGGTCTCGGCCCGAGTTAAACAAGAGCTTGGCAACCGCTGTGTTTCTGGATGAGCAGATCAAGCATTACCGATTTGCGCGTGACTCAAGCGAAGAGTTTAAGCACTCGATGATCCAAGTGAAGGGTCCTCCTCCTGATCGCTTGTTCATGTACGAAACTTGCTGGGGCTGGTTCATCTCTCCAGAGGTTGAGATTGTCTTGAACGCCCGGGCATACCGCTACTTGATTGCCTACTTTGAGCTGCGGTCAATCCAGGCCTCCTCTCGTCTTGAGAAGACAATCAGGACTTACAAACGGTTCCAGCTTTGCAATGCAGGAGATATGGTGGGATCTTATGAGTCTCAACGGAGGGCTGACATCACTCGTGCTTCCAACATCATTCTGTACACACAGCAAACAAGCGATACACCACGGGAAGTGTTCTATGGAGAAGTTATGTTGTTTGCGAGACCGTTTGTAGGTGGTACCTACCATCCTTTGGCCTATGTCCGGTGTTACAGTCCTGCACAGTTGCGCCGCAGTTCCTTCTTCGTGGTTAACACTCGTCCTCCGGGTGATCTATACGAGTGGATTCACGTCTCCTCGATCAAGCGGCTAGTTGGCACGTTATTCACGCAAACTCTCACTGCCTCAGGGCATGGCAGGAGTCCAGCTTGGATCATTGACCGGGAGACTTACGGGTGCAGGAGCGCGGCAAGACTTCTGTTGGATTACAATGACGAGGACCAGGATACTATTGACTAATACAAATTCCATACTTTTATTCTGGGATAATCCCACAACTCAAATCCCATAACTCAAATCCCATAACAGGCCCCATAACGAATCCCATACTACGACTGTTATGGAATAATCCCATACTTGAATTCCAGAACAAATCCCATACTTACCTTGTTCTGGGATTTTCCCAGAATCGAATCCCAGAACAAATCCCGTAGTAAACTAGTTCTGGGAAAATCCCAGAACAAACCCAGATTAAAGTTATGGAAATCCCATACCTCCTAACAAAAGTTCTGGGATTCCCATACTTCTTCAGGTCGTAGGGTAGGTGAGTGCGTAATCCACATCACAATCATGGATTATACGAGGATTACAGACGGATCATAGCGATCAGTGTGGATAACGAACCACGCCAAAATCCATGTCAAAAACGTCGATTACATTCCACAAAAAAATCATGGATATTCACAAGAGATCATAGCATACATGACACCATGATTTCAGTGCCTTCCCTACGGTCGCGAGAATCATGGATTAAAAAAACCCGTTTAATCCATCATTCCAAATCATGGATTGCGGGACCCAAACCACGATATGATTCAGCATAATTCATGATGCAATTGGTCTAGGTCTAGAAAAATCACAGAAAATGCAGTATTATTAAAACAAGAAAGCGAGATTACTAGGTAGAAATAGTGTATTGATATTATGAGTGTCCTGATAGAGTTACAGTAGGAATAAGTAAGGACCTATAACCCAGGATGTTGGAAATATCTCAGTGATGTACAAGCAATGTCATCCATAGCTGGTCTTGACCTTTGTTGCCGATGGAGCCATACGCATGGGGACTTGGGATTTTCAGAAATTCTCAAGGGGTGCCCTGGTGTATGCAGACACTTTGCTGCACAACCACAACATGTACACAGTCATGCACTAAACCATCCCTACGGACGATTCGCTCATGTAACTGACATGAAATCAGCAGGTAATCATCATGTAAACTTTACATGACATGTAAACCGTGGGAAGATCGTGTGTCAGTTGCGTAGACACCTACCGTCATGTAATCTACCTAGCAATCCTTGAGTAATTCTCGTGTTATCTTCTCGTGTAGCTTCTCGGTTGTGCATGCCAGCTGATGTCTTTTAGACGCGTTTTAAGTCTGGCTAAGTAATGAAACAGGGCGCGCCGCCCGCGAGCCTTGGTCTTAAGCTTCGCGGATAATGCAAACAAGCAGCATTCAGTCGACACAGCATTTGGTCGGACAGCATTCACCCTAGCAAGTTGAGGCTCGTGAATTCCGCTCGTGTAAAACCCACGCGCAGGTGCTTCCGGTTTTCGAAACTTAATTACACGAGCGTAATCCACGAGCGCATGACGCTCCGTTACGGGTCATGACCACCTACTAGATCCTACTGCTACTGCTACTGCTACTGTATGTGGTCATGCCAGGCGTGCTGTTAGATGGGGAGTTGTTGATTCAGTCAATTCGTACGGACGATAGAAGACGACGATGGGCAATGTTGGGACGTAATGCTGCTTGTGCAGAATCTGTGGGAGACATTCTTGGCAGCACACGCTCAAGTCAGTATACACTCGTAGACCTTACACGCAACATTACTTCTTGATCAGCAGATGGCGCTGCTGCGTCCTTCATTGTTGGTTTTATAAAGTGAAGCAGAGAGGCGTAAGGATGATGTATGGGTGTTCAAGCGACAGGGGTGTTGGACGCACTGTGCATGGCCGTTGTAAACACCGTGGAGAGTCGTACGCAGGACGGGTGATAGATGAGAGACGACGTATGACTCGGCTTGAGAAGCGAATGTATAAACCTCCGGCCTCCCACTACTTGGATTTTCCTGAAAATGTTGAGTCCCTACAAAGAAGATCAACGCCAGGTGTTGATTGAGATTTCTTCTCTGAGTTAGGTTGTGCTGACATATTAAGTGACATAACCACCATTTCTGCTATAATAGCTACTGGCATAATCGTAATATAGTTCTCCTACCTTGTACTGTTTTGACCTGCATAATGCTGCGCATTTGACCCCCAATTACTAACAACGTCCCTATGTTTTCAAGAATTCGGTTGATAGTATCATGGATTACGCCCAAAAAAACCCTGGATGATGCCAAAAGAAACCATGGTTTAAACCTGCTAAAATGAAGCAATTGGTACGTGAAAGCCTCAAAAAAAGAAGGACTATGCCCTACAAAAGAATGAAGAATTAAGATGATATTTTTGTCCACAATTACTTCAAGCATAGGCAATACCTTTGGCCAGGTTATAATTACAATTGTACTCGATCCCTACTTCAAAAAAAAAATACACTACATTACCAGGCCGGGCTCAGTGCACGATTACTTGTTGTGTGTTAACTCATGCCTGTATCGAGTTATCGGGCAATTACTACACGAAGAAGGCAAAACTTCACAAAAGCATTGCAACTGATCTGCACTTTTTACAACGTTCTCCTTGATTTTCGAGCTCGGTGCACGTATGGATTCCGGATGATCGTCGATAAGATTGAGCTTAATCCGTAGTTTTTATCAGGTAAGAACCCCCGCAATGTCAGGAAAATCGCTTTGAATCAGCCAGCGATCGTGTAGTATTATTGGTCAAAAAGCAGTGGAATTCAGGTGCAAAGCTTGTTCATGAGTATCTTGATATCTGAAGCAGCAGTCATCAAGGCCCGTAACCATGGCTATCAGGAGGAGCTTTGCAAGATGAAATTTTGATAAGGGGTTCCAAGAAGAACAAGTGACGCCAAGGTGTATGAGCCACAGGGCCCACTCTGGGCTGAGGTCAGCCAAAGGAATGTTATTGGGGGTAGTCAATCCTCTGCAAAAAATAATCGCTTAGTTTTTAATCCAGCGGTTGCCATGGAAACTATGCATAAACATCTATTATCTTTACGAGGCGCTCGAGCAGGGTCGTAAAAATAATCGCTTGAAAATAGTCGCCTAGGGTGAGCGGATGCGCCCAATTAGGAAATCCATGCAGATATCACTCAGAATCTGCGCATGATCTGCGTAGCCACGTTGATCAACCTGCCTCGAGCCAAACTCACCACCTTGGATATTCACGTGAGCGGGAGCTAAATGCCTGCTGAAAAAATAATCTGTCTATGTTTTGTAAGGGTTGGTCAGACCTTAGCGTAGCATGCCCTGGATTATAATCTAATTCGCTGTAAATTTTGCAGAGGATTGACTACCCCCATTGTAAAGGGCAGATCACTCCTGCTGTAAGGTCATGCAAGTCTGTGTAGCTGGTTTGAAAACCAGAGAGGAGCTTACTGCTTGTTGTCCACTCCCAGCAGCACTTCATCACTCCAACCCCTTCCAAACTGCACCAATATGACAAATATCACCAATCCTCACAAAGAAAGGGCCGATCTGATCCACAGTTCAGAGCAACATTATCTTCATGGATGAGCAGAAGTGTCAGTGCTGTCAGGTTTTATTTTCAAAGTGGTGGAACAAACCGAAATCAGAGTGAAGTATTGCACCAGCTCACAAAGCATATTTTTGTCTTTTTGCTAAAGATGTTCATTCTCGAGGGAATTACAAATGTTGGCTTTGTGTCAAGGCAGCCAAACCTTGTGAACATGAGAACAACATTGTGGCCCCTGTTGGTGCTGTTATGAGCTCAGTGACTGGAACAAGTGGTGAACAGCTGATCAGTCCCAGGCCTCAAACTCTTGACAATGTCAAGCCTATTAGAGAGGTCAGAGGGCTTCACAAGATGCCGAGCAGACTTTTTCTGTGAGCAATTGCGAGAGTGGTGACGAGAACGAGGTTGAAGGCGAGGACGAAGGCGAGGATGAGAGTGTGATTGAAGTCAAGGAGAGGCCTGTTCTATCCAAAGACATAAAAGGCCTGGTTGATGGCCTGAAAGCGAGACTTGATGAGTTCCAGGCGGAGATGAAACGAATTAGCCAGGAGCTGAAGGAGGTGAAAGAATGTCAGCAGATGAAGAAGGTCCTGGAGCGTGAAGCAGAAGGAGAGAGCAAGCGAAAGCGAAGGCATACTACTATGCCAGGAGTGGATGCCTCTCAGTCTGGTGAAATGCTGGATGTTTGTGTAAATGATCATTGTTAGTCCTTGTTACGGTTTTGTCAGGTTTCCCATAAGTCGAGGGTCGCGCTTCAATTGAGTCAACTTTAGCCGACGAGCGTGCCGCACGCCTACACCTAAACTTCACCCCGCGTTTTGCGACGTACATACCCCTCCTCGCCGAAAAAGTCCCGGGATTCTCAAAGAAAAGCCTTGAATACCAACTGAGAAAAGGTTGTAAGCTTGCTGAACAAGCTGATATCGCGAGGGTTCATCAGTCGCAGTTGCGGAGCCTAGTTACGGGCATGGCTCAATCAAGGCCGATCAGCTTCGTTATCGACATCTCTGCTGCTATCTATGAGGTGGGCTCAGCACTTTGTTTTTGTTGTCGCGTATAGGCCTGACTGATCGGTGTTTGCCAGGCGACATCTGCTTCGTGGAAGAAACGACTCAATGACTGGATTGCGGTTCCGGTAGGCATTCTGCTGATGCTCTGTGCGATTTGGGGGCTGGATCGATTGATCGCGTTGACAGGGGTATCATTCCCTGCAAGTGTAAGTAACAGCGAGATCAGCATCAATCTTCTTTACAAGAAAACGCGTGACTTACCTTGACTTCATAGGTTGCATGTCTTATCATCCTCTTCTTGTTCCTCATTGCCTTCGAACTCGTTGCAGGGCGCAAGGTGAACGACGTCGTCAAGTGGATTGAGGTTCCGGCAGGCTTCTGCCTGCGCTGGATCAATGGTAAACGCAATGCTAAAGTGATCAATTTCCGACATACGCTAATGAATGCCGTAGTCCTGTTCACACCGTCTTTTATCACGCTACCCTTATCACCCGCAGTCGGCGGGGTAGAGATTGTCAAGATCGGTGTAGTATTTCTGGTGGGCTTTTTGGTGGGTATGCCTATAACAGCATACAGTGTACGATTCCTCAGCCTCCTCTTTGGTACCTCGAAACGTGCCATGACTGAGAGAGCCGATGACGATCCACGAGGCGATGCAATCCCATTGCAAGACGTGGATCCTCGAAATGCAGAACCTGCGACACCAACCGAGATTACCCCTGGGGCAATGAGCCCTGATGTTCCAAACGGAATCATCTCAGCGACAGACACCAGAAGAACGAGTGTGGACTATGAAGATCAAGAAGCGCAACCTATCATGTTCGGCCTTCCATCTCCGCCCCGAGCAGCCAATGTGTCCCGTCTTCGGGGAATAGGGCCCGTATGCTCACGAATTGAGCAGATTCTAACTGACAAACAAACGACAACGACGCAAGGTCCTACCAGGCAATCGTCACTTCATCCCGAGTGGACACCTTACACACGACGACGAGCCATGACCGCATGGATCCTTGCCCACTTTGATACACTCACGTACACGACGTTGTTTGGTGTTGGCTTAGTGGTCTACATGCTCTCGGGTTATGCCATGCCCGTTCAGCTTCCCTTAAACATTTTGGCTTTCTACGCTGCGTTCGCCATCCCGATAAAGATCAAGCGGTTTATTCACCCTATTTTGACGTGCGCCGGCTTGATGATGCTCGGAGTATTCATAGTAACGCTGATGCGCGGGGAGAGTTTTGACCATGGTATGTATCAAGGGGTTTGACTACGCGTCACATTGCTAAGTTGCTGTCATCTAGGGCTGCACCAGTATTCAACGAAGACTAAATATCTGACCCTGTTCGATCCGAACAGATCCCACCGCGTGCCAGCACCTGGTGCCGGCGATATTCTTGGAAGCGTGCTTGACGCATCAATCGCATCACTCGCAATTCCGATGTTTAAATATCGCAAGGAACTCGGTCGTCATTTCCTGGAGGTTGTGATCCCTTGCGTTGGCATGGCTGTTGCAAGCTTTTTCCTTTACCCGTTGGTTTGCCATGCAATTGGTATCTCTTCGACACGAAGCCTGAGTTTCGTGGCTCGCTCTGTAACTCTTGCTCTCGCGACACCTATTGTTTCCAATTTGGGCGGTGATATGTCGCTGCTGGTGGTATTGGCTATCTTATCAGGCATCTTAGGCGTCCTCATCGGAGACCAACTGCTACGATATCTCCGCATTCCTGATGACGACTACGTGACGAGAGGGGTGGCTCTGGGTACAAATGCTTCAGCGATTTCGACGGCGCATTTGCTCGTTACAGACCCAAGAGCAGCAGCTTTGAGTTGCGTTGCCTTTGCCATCTATGGTTTGACCATGGTAATCTTGAGTGCAATCAGCCCAGTGGTAAAGGAAACGCGGGCATTGGTAGGGCTATCGTGAAATCCTTGGTGATATACCATCATCGCACACTACATTCAGCAAGCATTATCTACATACTTAATAGTGGTGAATCTAGGTTAATTGGAAGTATGAAACTCATCAATGTTATCGTACACTACTCTGAAATATCTGCCACTTTCTGTGAATGCACATGAATACGTTCTCAAGTGCTTTCCCCACAAGAAATTCATAACTTTGCGCCGCCTTTCTTGGCACCTTTCGCTCCAGCAACAGTCATGCCTTCGAGTGCCTTGGCAGGCTCGAGCACAGCTTGCGGGTACGGAAGTGGACCGCTCTGATCTCTGAGCCAGGCTCCTCCATCAACAACTAAAATCGCGCCATTGATCCATTGAGCAGCATCGCTGAACAAGAAAACGGTTGCATCTGCAATGTCCTGAATCCTGCCCATTCGTTGCATGGGTATGGCGGAATCTGCCTTATCTTTAAGTTCTTGTGGCAATAATCTTGACATGCCTTCTGTTTCGCCGATGGGCCCAGGCGCAATAACGTTGGTCGTGATTCCCCAAGGACCGTACTCGACCGCCAGATTTTTGGCCAATGCATCTATTCCAGCCTTGGCGGCGGCGACATGGCTCTGAAATTTGTTCATGTATAAATAACTGCAAATGCACATTGAGTACGCAATGACGCACCTGGAAGGGAACACCCGTATAATGAAGTGTAGCACTAACAAAGAGGATTTTGCCTTTCGTCTTCTTCAGATGAGGTATAGCCGCTTTCACTGTGTTGAACGTCCCGAGCAAATCAATTGCAACCACTTGCTTGACTTGCGCGTTTTGAGTTAGCGAACATGCGGGCCAGAAGAGTAAGCCATATCATACAAGCATTGGCACTTAGATTATCAACCGGAGCGAGGAAATTACCGGCCGCACCGCAGATGAGGAGATCGAGTCGCCCGAACTGCTCAATAGCGCGATCCACCGCAGCTTTCAAGGACTGATCATCACGAACGTCCGCAGCAATCCCAATCACACGTGCTCCATAGCGAAGCTGAGCAATCTCACTGGCAGCTTTCTATGGATTAGGTATCGGTTAGCCTGATATCCTCATTCACTGAGCGTAACAACGCACATCGAGGATGTTCTGACGTCTGCCAACTATGACAGCGTCCGCACCGAGGCTGACCAAGGCTTCGACTGTCGGTCACGTATAAGCATCTCACACACAACAGTGACTGTGAAGAGCAGTGCACCTTGACCGCGACAGATGGATCCAGCTCCGCCTAAAAACCGTTGAGTCAGATCGTGCTCCAGACGAGTAGGTAACAAACAGCCAGCGTACCGGTAACGAAGACCACTTTCCCATCAAAGATCCTCTCTCGATATATTTTGGATACGTTTGCAGTCATTTCAAGCGACTGTAAAGGTGAGCTGCTGCTTCCTGTTGTCGTCTGGTACTTGCGACCTTCATATGGTGTGGGGTCGGCGGATGCGGGGGTCCCGGCGCCCGAACGACAGCAAACGTACGTTGGCCGGTGTCTTGGACGAAATACAGCGGGTAGCTGAGCTTGACATTGGCCTTTACTCGTTCAATGAAACATTCCGAATTGGCTCAGATTACCCTTGTATCCCGAGCGTCTGCGTGGATGCGATGTTTCCTAAATCCACACGCCCAGGACCGCGGCCGACAACTGCCGCCGGAGCTGCCGTGTAGAACTCAGGCGAGGGTAGAAGTCTAGGGAAGAAGAATGCCGCTGATGAAGCAATGTAAAATTCACTGGTATTGTTAGTCTAGCCATAGCTATGCCTAGGTAGCTATAATGGTATATGTTAGATAGAATGTAAGTAAGAAAACGCCCGCTGTATCCCAAACGTAAAATCCCCCAACCTCAAATCAACATAAAAATATTCTTAGTAACTGAAAGACGTAATAGCAGGGTTCAACACCAAAGGCATAAGCAAGTGACTGGAAATCACAGTACTCAGAGGCACAATGGCAATGAAGTCTGTGATCCTCCATTGATAGGGGATCACTGGACTCGCCATGATACACATGGTGATGATGGAAAGGAGACCGAAAAGAAAACTGTACTTGAACTGCTTCAGAATCTTCGGCAACTCAATCCAAAAGTTAGTGATAGTGACTTCCTTTCCTGTAGCACCCCACTGCAAGTTGTACTCGAGCATGTGAGACAACAGGGCAGCAGAAACGTGCAAGGATAAACCTCCAAGGAAGATAGCAAGCATGAAAATCCACTTGAAGTTTTCGTAGAAAGCATACAGGAAGGTACGCTCACCGATACGGTATCGCATAATCGCAAGAGCGACATTTCCAAGACCGTTGAAGACGATAACCAAGGAGAACCACACTTTCCACGAATCAACGTACCACTTGTCGAGATATCCATTGTACCAGCCGATGGCAAAGTAGTTTGCAATGGTTAAGATCCAAGCGGCTCCGATAGCGTAGTAAGTTCCGATGTATGAAATAATAGTGACTTTGGAAGTGAAACGAATGTTGGAGAAAAAGAAAGTGCGAAACAAAGGAGTGAACGGTCCTTTAGTGAACCAAAGACGAAGCGGATGGAACAGCAATTCGTTACATCCGTAGGCGTATTTTTCCCAACGAGCCAACTCGTCGTATACCGTTAACGAGACACCTTCTTGGAAGCCGTCTCCGGTATATCCACCTAGGCGGATCGTATAACCGAGAATTTGTAGACGCAGAGACATGTCAAAATCTTCCGAGACGTGAGACTCGGACCAAATCTTGGGGTAACCATCCTCATCCATGTAGGATACTTGCTGGATGGCTTCCCATCTGAGCACGGCATTGTGCCCCACAAAGGGAGCCACGTCACCGTTGGCACAAGTGTAACGAATAGCTGTGTAGATAAGTTGAGTAAAGAACGTAATACCATTTTCGAAAAAGTCAAACGAAACCTGCATGACACCAGAGGCGTATTGAAGAACACCAATCTCAGGTGACTGCGTCATCTCCGAAGCAGAATCGAGCAAGCAGTCAACAGGGACACGAGTGTCAGAGTCAATGATGAGAATGAGATCTCCAATGCGGATATCGCCGGCAGCCCATGCGCGTCCATCTTCGTCGACGACCCTTCGGAGCGCATCATCATAAGCTTTCTGTTCATCGACATCAGACCACCCTTCAGGACGTTCGACTTGCTCCAAGACCTCCTCGACTTTGTTACTAATCATCATGGCAAAGTTCATGTTTGAGGCTTTCTTGAATCGTCCACGACGAAGGAAACCATCTTTACCATGAGCCGGACGAGCAACCCAGCCAATGCCATGATCTTGGTAGTATTCCATACGTGCCTGACGGTCTTCCTCCGAAATCAACTGAAGGCCGTCATCATTATAGAACAAGTTGCAAGAACCGCCTTGCAACTCGTATGCCGACATTGCCTGCTTGACCGAACGTACCGTGGGATCAATGACGGTAGTCAGGGACTCCTTGTAGACAGGACACTGGATGGTGATGTGAGGGAGAGGTACATCCTTCAGGCGTCGAGGCCTGATACCGGAGTAGTACTTGGAGTTGATGTTCATCTGCTGAATCGGACCGAAGATCTGCAACAAACATCCAACGATGACCTGCATGAAGAAAAGAGTGAAGAAGACTTCGATGGGTGTGAGAATGAGAAGCAAGAGACGGACGTACGAGTGATCGACAACGATCTCTCCTGCCAATTGACGCCAACCAGCTCCGAGGACCATAATGATAAGGGCGAGAGTGATCGAGACGCAGATAGGGTTGATGAGAATAACCCGACGCTTCACTTCCGGGATATATTCACCGTCCTCGTCATAGTACTCGTCACCTTTCTCAAGGTCGAGCTCCTCAATGACTGGTGTCTTTCCGTTGGCACCTTTGAGCAAATTCTCGATTCTGCCCGCACCCCAAACGAGCTGCAGAAGGCGCTGCTCCATTTCATCGGCACGATGAAGGATTTCATCCGCAGCATCAGCCCAAACCACAAGGATCTGCTCGTCGCGAATGAAAGCAGAGTACTGGTGCTTTCGGGCACGTGTCAGATCTGACATGGTGTCGATGATCTGATATTTCGTACCATCAAGGAGAGGCACATCAGTTGAGCTTTGAGGAAGCTTCTGAAGAATCTTCTTGACGAGTTTGGAGTCGATAGTCAAGGCGACTTCAACGTTCATGGCAGCGATCATTGAGTGATACGTGGAACCAGTCGTAGAAGGTAGAGCACACTTCCACTCACCACGACCGACACGAAGAATGACACCACGATCAGGTTCCATTTGTCCCGTCAACGGGTTAGCCACCGTCCACCCATGGTTCTCACATGCACTCTGGATGAATTCCATCATCATTTCGTGTCGGATCGCGTCAACCCAGAGACCCTCACTTGGACGATCTTCAGGCTCCTTCTTATCCATATCCGACGAAGTTGCAGAAACCAATGATGCTCGATCATCGTTCTCGACGGGCATGAACTTCTCCTGATGCATGAGCGGCGGCGTAGCCGGACCTTTGACGACGGTCTCTTTGCGCCCGAAGAGCGAGAAGGACCTACCTTTGTCCTCAGGTGCCACGGATGCCCTTCGTACTGGGGGTGCTGATGGCGGCTTCTTGAGCGGTTCGTCACTGTCTAGGGAATCGGTATCCGGATCTCCATGATAGGAGACAATACTGGGTTTCCGGATATCCTGAGGGGAGACGCTCGGTTTTCGGCCATTGGGGCCGGCAACGCTGGGATTCCGCAATGTGTAGGTGCCGGTGAACGCATTCGTTGCAGTGCTGATGGCGGCGCCGGTGCTGTCAAGAAAGCCAATGTATGATTCGGCGACGTCATCGATGCGATCGTTCAATCCTCTCCAGAATTTTCCGGCCATACTCGGCCTTCGCTCCTTCTCTGCAGGTGTCGGTGTAGGCGGAGTGATATCGGACATTGTCGTCGACGAGCAAGAGCTTGAGAAAACGTTACAGTGATCAGATCAATTCTTGCTGCCTCCCTTACTGTCGGGTATGATTCGGCGGTTGGGCCAACAGGACTTGGAGCACGGTGGAGGGAGCGTAGTCGTACTTGTACGGAGCATTACGAAAGGAAGCCCGACAGATCAGAGGGAACCCTTTGCAATCGAAATCGGGCGTTTTCGATTATTAGGTGGCGATGAGACAGGGCACTCTTAGCAGCAGTGTGGACTGCCTGGCGCTCAACGGATGAAAGGTTTCGGCTCTGGACTTTACTTACTGGGGTTGGGGTTGGGCCTCGCGCGCACGGACCATGCCCGCATGAGGAAACAGATCGAAACCCAGCCAGGCCTAGGATAACTAAAGGAAGAGAAAACCAACCGCTCTTTCATGCGAATCCATCGTAGTTGTTCGTTCGCACGCTTGTCTTCACTGCCAATTCGCCTGGCCAGCTGCTATTGATCTGCAAACTATGCAAGAACTTTTTTTCGCGCTCGGACCGTCAGAACCCGCGTGAACCGAGAATTCGCCTCACGAAGATCTCGGAGATTTTCTTGACACTATACCGTTACACGTGCACTCACGTCCGAAGCATGCTCGAGCTTCGTATGTACATACTTTCGCTTAACATCCGTCGTCAATAATTAGGGTCTATAGGAGTTTCTCGTAGTTATTCTGTCATTGGCAGGGGCGGTTTTTACGTCTTTTCATGTCGTTCGGGACGGGCGTCGTCAGCGAAAGCATGGAGCTTCTACGGCAGAATTAAGGTTTCGGGTGAGAGTTCTCACAGTTCTAAAGTTCTACGCACACCAAAGAAATTATTTGGCGGTCGATTATAACTGCAATTGCAATGACGATGCAAAGAAAACGTAAGACGCAAGCTCGTACGACTGTTAATCGACACGGTTACCTGTCAAAGCGTGGCCTTGTTTAAGGGTGCTGACTTTTTGGTTCCGAATTGCCGGGGGTCCAGATCGTGCAGCGCGTGCACGCGCACACCAATGCTACGACAGGTCGTACACTCGTAATTGACCTGGATATCCTTGTTACATCCAAAAGTCGAAGCTGATTATTTCGATTCACTTTGACCTTCTCTGAGCTTTCAATCGTGTTCAAAAGCTTATTGGGTGGCTGCTTCCCAGAGGCTGGTTCGCGGTTCACCCGTTGAGTGAGACGAGGCTGGATGAGACATGGCCATGGCATGGGTGTAAAAAGGGAGACACAAAGGACGGATGAGGCACAAACTGATTGTAAACTCGTATCCCATGAACAAGGGTAGATGGTTGAGCAATTAACAGTTTGACCGGATTAAGTACCATGAACTGTTGGGATCGTCGTTCCTCTGAGCTGATCATGATCTACGAGTGTTCGTGATGCTTATGCATCCTCAGATAATTCTGGCAATTGGTATAACGAATCGTTAACTAGCAAATTCTAAAGCCCATAACACCAAAAGATCACGTAGCTATCGCAGATCATATCGTCTAATTATCGCACTGCTGCCACATCGAGACCTTGTCCACGACCATCGCTCTACGATCACTGCTTCCCCACGTAGGCAACCAGGTGTCCCTCTGTCTCCAAAAGTCACCCATAGCAGTCGATGAAGCGTCAACCCAAGGCTTGTTGTCCTTGCCATCAACGAACCAACCATTAGTACCACCAACGGCGACGTTCAAGATAAGGTAGAACTCTTGATCGAAAGGCGTAGAAGCCGTACCCGAAGACCAAGGGTTGACATAAGTCGTACCGTTAGCATTGGAGAGCGGGAAGCTTCCACGGTCCCAGAAAGGCGTCTGAAACTTGGTGTAAAGCACAGTCTGCAAGCGAGAATCCACGTAAGTGAAGAGGTATTTTTCTGACCATTCGAGACCAAAGGTATGGAACCCTTCGTCGAAAGAAGTATGCGGCAAACGATGCTTGTTGTTCGTACGCCAGTAGCCATCGTTGGCGGAGTCAGGACCCCAGTGAAGAGTTGAGGAGATAATGTCCCTACCACCCTCGGGATAGAAAATGTCGTTTCCACGAGATTCGGCAATGTCGATCTCACCAGACTTTGGCCAAACACCGTAAGTGTTGTTGACAGGCAACATCCAAATGGCAGGCCAGATCCAGTCTCCCTTTGGTAAACGAGCACGGACCTCGACACGGCCGTACTTAATGGAAGCAGATCCCTTGGTGGTAAGGCGCGCAGACTTAATGGGAGGAATGATCTGACCCGTCGTAGTGTTTGAGGTAACAACACAGTTGTACTTGGTCGTCGAAGTACACTCTCCGGTTGCCGTCAAATTGACGGTGTAACCGTTGTTGATCTCGTTGGAGGTAAGACTTGCGTTGGTAAGCGTTGGCATGATGAAGAGTTTGCCATCCTGAACGTAGGAGTTATCCGAATTCGCAGTGGTCCATTCAAATTCGCCATTACCGTATCCACCGAGCTCAATGTCGTGCTTCCAAATGGATGTATTCAAACCGTTCGTGAAATCGTCGATGAGAACAGGGCAGTACTTGTGATGAGCAACACCACGAATACCGTCCCAGATCAACAGCCCAGCAGCGATGAAGCCAACGACAACACCAATGATCGGAATGATCGATACCCACTTCTCTCGAGGATCCTCCTCCAGCAACCAAGGCTTCTCCACAGGTCCCTTTAGACGTCTAGACACGAATTGCCTGGTATAAACTGCGGGCTGTGCCTTCTCGTCTTTGGGCTCAGGTGCGTTAAACGGGCTGGGTCCAGTTGCATCCACACCAAAGAAAGTAGACACCGGACGAGCGCTTGAGCCCATAGCTAACGGCGCAGGGCCTTCTTGGTTGTACGTCGATCTTCTTCTCGAATCCATCGGGTCGTATTGAGAGACACGGCGTTGCGCAAGGGTTGCAGACGATGTCGGTTCATACGTAGAAAACTGCCTGTTAGCAGTCATGGATCCACCGGCTGATGGAGGTTCGGCACCACCGATGGACATTCTGGGGTCATATCCCGACAAGCGGCGGGCGATACTCGGCGGCGCAGCATCCGTGATGGAGTAATTCGACAAAGGACGTCCGTACGAGGAGAGCGGCCTGGGTCGAGTTGCAACCGACGGACGGCGCGATCCGCCAGATGGAGGATCAGCGGGTGCAGCAGCCGTAGGGTCTGGTGTAGGACCGGTCATCCGACGAGGGCCCATTCCTGGACTTGCGGGATTGTGCGATTCAGGGCCGAGAGATCTGCGCTTCATGATACCTTGCAACGCTGCCGGAGGGGCATTGTCGGTCTTCTCCTCGGGCGACAACAACGGTGTGGTGTTTGAGGATGTCGGCGTCGTTTCGATCATGGTCCTACGACGGTTTGTAGTCGGAGTTACTTGTTCAGACGGTGCTCGGACGCGCTGGCCTGGCGAAGGGCTGTCCATCATAGTCATACGACGTTGCGACTTGGGCGTGACGGGCCGAGTGACAGGTTCCTCAGCAGCAGCAGCCTGAGAGGGAGTGATCTCTTTCCCGGCAACGTTTTCAGGCATCGTTTCCTTTTCCGAATCGGCCATGGCTGCTGGTCGTGTTGCGTTGACCAGAAGGTTGTCGGCGTCTGGCCGTTGCGGTCAAAGTTGTGTTATAGGAACTTGATCCAAGGGACAACGGGTATCGATTAGGTTTGTGCAGCGAACAGACCCATGACTTTACTAACGATCGGGTTCCGAATCCGCAAGGCTCGCACCGATGTGGCGGATTCTTTTTGGTGAGACACTGCCAGACAAAGCCGAGTAGTTCGCCGCCACGCGTAGGCGGGGATAACGAAGGACAGCCGTTGGCGGAAGAGCCTAGATCGCTCACTCAAGGGTGCGACTGATTGGCAGGTTGGTCGCCAAGGCTATGCCTGTTGTCGTCCTCAATTGCCGTTTTCCGACTTTTCTACTCAATCGCGTGCTCGGACAGCATGGGTCCGTGCGTTTTTTTCGTTTGACGGCAGAGAATTAAGGGAGTCTCAGTTGCACAGATGGTCCGTGCGCGGTTTTCTACGTCTGGCAGCGCGCGCGGTTGGAAGCACTTGAGCACACTTGAACAGCCCTCGGTTGTCTTCGATCGCCTAGGAGCGCCATGGACAACGCCAGAACACTTTTACCGTTTAGGCCCCATTCTCCCGCCATCGGTGCTTCCAATGTTGCTACCGTCCCAACAGGATCGAGTAAGATCCTCTACGCCTTGGCACACCACCCCATTATTACCACGTGCGTAGGTAAAGCTTTCTTTCCTTTCAAGACAGACTCTGCATTCTCGGCCCCGAATCCGGCGTCTGGCTTCAATTTACGACTGCCGCCACAGGGATCGCCTTTCCCGAACTTGAAACGACGGTCAGCCTCTCCCTCGCCATTCTCGAAACACGCAGGCACACTCGGATACCCTTGTGTTCGATCATTGTTGTGCGACCCGCCACTTGCTGTACTTGCTAATCGCTTTATGACCAAAAAGTGTCGTCGGTGAACACTCTCCTCGCAACTCCTCACTCTGTAGCAGCAACGATACCGCCCTCGATTAACTGCTCGCATCAGTAGAGCGACAGCTCCGTCGACAGCAGCCGTCAGCGTTCCCTCACCTTCGCGGACATGAAGTCATACTTTGCGGCAAAGGACGGTGCTCAAGGGTTTACCCGTAAGGGTTTCGGCGACTTCAAATACCAGAAGCGAACGAAGGGCAAGAAGTCAGAGAAGGGCAAGGAGAAGAGCGACGAAGTCGATACCAACATCGAGGAAGTTGCACCAGAAAAGGTCAACACTCACCGCCGAAACAAATCGTCATCGGCCCGATCCACACTCTCCCACAGTGCTTCCGTCCGATCCGTTGCGCTTTCCACCAAAGGTCGAGGTCCCAGTGTCTTCATCGACGATATCGAACGAGAAGAGTTATGGGCCGAGTACCTTTACAGAACAGCGGCAAAGAAGGGGTGGTTCCGAAACACAGGAGGTGCATCTGGTCTTCTCTCGCCAACTGCTGTCGGAGCAGGCGATATTTCCTTCGACGAAAGCAGCATGCGTATGAGCAGACGACTGTCCGTCTTCACGCCCGGTGTACAGCAACCAGTTGTCGTCGAAAAGGCTCTCGCAGTGGGCCAGATCTCTCTCCGTGTACAGAAGGGTGATTACCGTACGTTCCCACCTGCTCTCGATGGTGGTGAATTCGAAATGGCAGTAGCCGGTCTCAACGTCGAATCGGCAATCAAGATCACCAACAAAACACCAGCGCTCATTCTGTCGAAGCTTCCGCCGACCGCCTTCGAGGTCGTTCTCGGAGAGAACAATCATATTCAAATTTTAGAGAATGTTCAGATGCTTGCACGTGGTCGTCGCAATCAATTCGCGGCTTTCATCCGAGATGAAAAGTCACTGGTCGTTTGGGACGATGATCCGCAAAACCTAATCCCACGAGCGACTGATCTGGAAAAAGAGATCATCGAGGCAGTATGGTCCAAAAAGCCTGTCGTGACGGAGGAGGCTGCGGATTTGGAGAAGGGTACCCTCATGGGAGAGAAGAGAGAAAGGCAGCTGTTGATTCCTGGCGTTGTCGCTTGTGCGACTGCCATGCTGGGAACTTTCATTGGCCTCGGAATCCGGAGTTTGGTGAACGAGAGTTTGCAACAAGGAGGCGGGTGGGAGCGATTCGCCATGCTTGCGGCGGTCCCGCATACCATCTTCTTCTCCATGTTCTTCACGATGATTGTCTGCAGTAGTATCATCCAGTTGTTCGGCCCGACTCAGCAACTGAACGAAAACTCACTTTCGTTCAGTGCTAAACCGCCAAGACGTGTTGCTGGTTATCTACCGCATATCACCATTCAGATGCCGGTTTACAAGGAGTCATTGGAAAAGGTTATCGATCCCACTATCCGCTCCGTGAAAGCAGCTATCTCCACGTACGAACTTCAAGGTGGAACTGCTTCAATCTTTGTAAACGACGACGGTATGCAGCTCATCAGCGAAGACGAGGCGGACGAGAGAATCGACTACTATGGCGAACAAGGTATTGGATGGGTCGCACGCCCGCCACATGGAACAAACGGATTCGTCCGTGCCGGACGTTTCAAGAAAGCATCCAACATGAACTTTTCTCTTAACATGTCTCTGGCCGTCGAAGCTAAGCTTGAAGGAATCGAGCGAGGACCTGAATGGACTGATCAGGACGAGTACGACGCTTACGAGAAAGCACTGGAAGAATCACAGGACGAAATTGCGAACGGTGAAGCTTGGGCGGAGGGTGACATCCGTATCGGTGACTTTATCCTTATCATCGATTCCGATACACGAGTACCCGAAGATTGTTTCCTTGATGCTGCGTCCGAGTTTATGCTCTCGCCGGAAGTTGCCATTATCCAGCATGCGTCTGGAGTCATGCAGGTTGTTGACGATTTCTGGGAGAACGGTATCACCTTTTTCACGAATCTCGTTTACCTCGCTATCCGATACGCCACTGCTGGTGGAGATGTCGCTGCTTTCGTCGGTCATAACGCTTTCATCCGATGGACTGCTTTGCAAGAAGTCGCTTGGCTTGACGATGACGGGACTACCAAATGGTGGTCGGAGTCGCACGTGTCTGAGGACTTTGAGATGGCCCTGAAACTCCAGATCTTGGGGTACACCATCAGATTGGCTTCTTACCATAATGGAGATTTCAAGGAGGGTGTGTCTTTGACGGTCTACGATGAACTGACACGATGGGAGAAGTACGCGTATGGTTGCTCGTAAGTGAATCATTTTTCCCATTACGAATCTCCACTAACTCCGTCGCCTAGTGAGCTCATGTTCCATCCTATTCGATTTTGGCTGACCCGTGGCCCGTTCACGCCGCTGTTCCTTACCTTCATCAGTTCGAAGATCAAGGGTTTCTCGAAGTTCACCATTCTCGCCTACATTGGTACATACTTTGCCATTGGTGGAGCATGGCTCTTGACTGTTGTGAACTACTTCGTCATTGGTTGGTACAAGTACGCTGTCGACAAGTACTACGTCGACTCCTGGCAAATCACCTTGTCATGTTTGGTGGTGTTTTGTGCTGCTGGTCCATTCTGTTCTGCAATCTACAGATATCGTATCGGTCATGCAAGTCTGCTTCCGGCATTGTACGAAAACTTCCGATGGGTGCCACTTCTCACGGCGTTCATGGGAGGTCTGTCGATGCACGTCTCATGGGCGTTGATTTGTCATTTGTTCTCGCTGCCTCTTTCCTGGGGTGCCACGGCCAAGGAGCTTGAGGCTTCTAATTTCTTCAAGGAAGTACCCAAGATCGCTCGCAGATTCAAATGGATCTACCTCTGGATTGCGGTTGGTGCGGCGATGATGATTTATCTAGCTTTCTTTGCGCCCTACAAATGGCGGATTGACACGGTTATCGTCGTTCTTCCGTTGGTGTGGCAGTTGGTATTCCACGCGCTTCTACCTATCGTCCTCAACCCGTCATTGATGACTTTCCGTTTCTAAGGAGCTTAGATGGGGAGGAACTTTGGAGTTTTGTCTTTTCTTCTAGCATATGGGTTCACTTCATTCATACCCTATCATACCGAATAAATCTAGACCATTTTCGCATATCTCTATCGTACCATCATAAACTTTACAAGTTCTTCTTGTTCTCCAAGACGATGCGGTAAGTGGCCTTACCGTCCTCCATATCCTTGACGGCCTGGTTGACGTTCTCGAGGTCGTACTTCTGGACCCAGGACTTGACGCCGGACTTGGCCGCAAGCTCAAGCATCTCGCGGATGGTCTGGGGAGAACCGATGAGAGATCCGACGATCTTGGCATTGTTCCTGATCAAAGCACCAGGACGGAGGGTAACACCCTCCTCGGGGAGACCGACGACGATAAAGGTACCCCTGAGCTTGAGCAAACTCAAGTAGTCACCGAAGGGCATGTCAGCCTCGGAGACGGTGCAGAGCAAGACATCAAACTCCTTGGTGTGGCCCTTCTGCCAGTTCTCCTCACCGGTGGCAATGAAGTCGGTAACACCCATCTTGCGAGCGTCCTCCTCCTTTCTGCGTGAACGGGAGATAGCAGTAACCTCAGCACCCATAGCCTTGGCAAATAGGATACCAAAGTGACCGAGACCACCGATACCGATGACGCCGACCTTCTTACCGGGACCAACCTCAGCATCCTTCATGGGAGAGTAGACGGTAACACCGGCACACATCATGGGAGCAGCGACCTCGGACTCGAGACCCTCAGGAATGGGGATACAGAAGTGAGAGGGGACACGGGCGTAGTCGGCGTAACCACCGGTAGACTTGGATCCATCGGGGTAAACACCGTTGTAGGTACCGACCATACCCTTCTCACAGTAAGGCTCGGAGTGGGTCTTGCAAGGGGAGCAAGAAAGGCAAGAGCTGGACTGAGCACCGACACCGATGCGGTCTCCACTGTTGTCATATGTTAGCAAATCTTTATCGATATTCGGTATTTCTGTTGGTCCGAGATCGGGGGATCGACTGTGCGAGTACCGCCCCGGTTATCCGGCAATCGACACGAGGGGATCACTTACACCTTGACGTTCTTTACATTCTTACCAACACGGACGGCAATACCAACGATCTCGTGTCCAACGACCTGAGGGTACTTGGTAGGACCCCAACCAGAGCGAAGAGTGTGAATGTCAGAACCGCAGATACCACAGTACTGGATCTTGATGTCGACGTCGTCCTCAGACCAGTTCTTCGGCTCGTACTCCTCATGCTTCAAGTTGCCGATGGAGTTGGAGTCGTGGGCAACCCAGCCCTGGAACTTGTAATCGGTGGAAGCCATTGCTATTTTTTGGTTGGATTGATGGGGGATGGACTGGACGGTGTGGTGTGGTGTTTTCTCCTCACTTCCGGAATTGGGCGCGGTGACGTTGCTTACGAATATAACCGGTAACCGCAGCCGACGGAGCCGATCGTTGAATGGAAGAAGCACCTTCAAATTGTAAGGCTGGCTAAAGAATGATCTCTAGGATCAAAAAATGTAGAAGAAATAGATAAAAAGTTCCCACAAAAATTCAAAAGTAGCGCCGTGGAAGCCGAGAGCGAAATCTAACCCGTTTTGCTCATTCCCCAATGTGTGTGTGTCCCCCCCAGCTGAGCGACCTGGCTCGGCAGATAAAGATATTGTGTGTACGGAAGAACACGCTTAAGCGATACAGAGGTTAACCTCGAAAGAGTCGGGACCGGTGCAAGTGTAGGTCTGGACATCGTCGGGGAGGTAGTAGGCGTACTTGCAGTTATCGGCGTCCTTGCAAACGAGATCGTCGCAGTTACCAGAACCGCCGACGGGCTTCATGGAGGCAGAAGCGATCTCACCATCACCGTCGATGTAAGAGATGTCGTAAGCGTCCATACCGTTCCATCCACCAAGAGAAAGCTCGAACTGAGCGGGCTTCAACCAGGAACCTTTCTCGGCATCGATAGCCTTGAAGACGGTACCCATAGCCGGGGTGGGCATATCGACGGTCTGAGTACCGTTGGACTTGATGGTGAAGGAGTCCTCACCGGCGGTACCGAGGAACTTGACGTCGACGGGGTTGGTGCAGTTGTTGTTGATGGTCATGGTGACGGTGGAGCGCTTCTGAGGAGCGGCCTCGACCAAAGCGAGGCAAAGGGCAACGAGAGCGAAGAAGACGGTGGTGAACTGCATTGTAGTTGTAGTAAAGTGAGTGTTGTTGTGGTGAGTGCCTTGGGTTGGCTAGACTGAGGTCGACTTGAGAAAGTGAGTGTATGGAACGAACCGGTCGTTTGTCTGATCGATTGATGCTGGAACCAAGCCGGGTGGTGGTGCGGTCTTTATACACCCCCACGGGCTTCCTCCTCGAAAAGAACGACCCCATTGTACGGGGCCCGACAGAGCGCAATTTCCTTTTGGTGGTTTCTTCGGTACTGAGCCACGTAATACGAGGGTTAGGGAAGCATGGGGAGAAAAAAGTTGGGCTTCCCCTGCGTGAGATGAAAGTCAGCAATTTCCCGGCGACGGTTTAAGACCTGGGTTGTAATTTCGCGAGGGAGTGGTGGCTGCATAGGCGTGCTCAAGTGGAGATCAGTGCGCTGGACACGCTTCCGTTGAGCATCGATTGCATAAGCGGAGATGACAGGCGCCCCGGGCACTTGGGCTCCTGCAGGCACCGCATTCAACTGCACTCGATCTTGATCGGATCTGATTGATCTCCTGCAGGCAACCGCATGCATTGCACTGCATTGCATCCACGGCCATGCAGCCGGATCTCGAACTGGACTGCATGAAGGGCAAACGCCGGTGTGAGATCAATCTCCACAGACCATCGCCTTTAAGGGACTATGGTCCCTTTGCAATTGATTGAGTGGTCTTTGCCACTGCGTTGCCAGTCGTACGTGTGCAGTGAGGAGGTGCTCCGTGGGCCATTGCTGTGGTGTGACCGGACGACTGGTGCGAGACACGGCGTGAATGCTGTCGTTTGAGCGTCTTGGAAGCTCTGTTTACTCTTCTCGATGATCTGTTTACGCTGCTGTTTTCTTTACTTATGTATACGTGTCACCAGTCACGTGCCTTCGCACACGTGCCCGTAGTGAAGGAATTGTCCATGGTGTTGTTTTGACTTCACTCAGCGGCTGTCGTCAAGAGAACAAACATCGTAAGGTCACTGTCTCGGGAGTCAATTGCCGGTGAATGAAAGGTCGAGGCAAGAATTGGCGAGTTATCGTGTTAGTCGCTGATTACCCGCGCGCGGAAGACGTCACCATTGCACCCGTACTCCGAGTACTTGAACTTATAAGGCCTTTGATCTCGAGCTTTGATCATGAAGATCTCATAGAATGTCTGATCCATACAACCTTCCTAAGCGTACCACCCCTCACTGGGGCTTATACCAGCGTAAAGCCTTCATCGAGGGTACCAAGGGTATCCTCCCCCCCTTCAACACCGATCCGGGCAGGCTCGAGGATCTCGCTCACGAGAAGCTGTCGGCCGGAGGATGGTTCTACGCATCCTCCAACGCCGGTTCATCATTGACCCACCGCGCAAACCGCGAAGCTTTCTACCGCTACAAGATCCTTCCCAGGATGCTCCGTGAGACAAACACTCGCGACACCACTACCGAACTCTTCGGGCACAAGATATCTGCACCGATCATGTTTGCTCCTGTCGGAATTAACAAGATCTACCACCCAACCGGTGAGCTCTCCGTCGCAAAGGTCGCGGGCGAACTTAACCTCCCTTACTGCCTCTCCACCGCCGGCTCCCAATCCATCGAAGACGTGGCCGCAGTCAACGGGAATGGTCCCCGCTTCTACCAACTCTACATGCCCCACGACGACGAACTCACCATCTCCCTCCTCACCCGCGCCCATCAATCCGGATTCGACGTCTGCATGATGACTCTCGACACATGGCAACTCGCCTGGCGCCACGACGATGTCGCAACAGCAAATTACGCATTCTACTACGGCATCGGCGCCGAACTCGGACTCTCTGATCCCATTTTCCAGAAACGGTTGAAGGAATGGGGAATTGACCCAAAGAAGGACCCACAAGCCGCCGGACGGCGTTGGATCGATAACGTGTGGCACGGGAAAGCGCACACCTGGGACCGTATCCCCTGGGTCCGTGACCAATGGCAGAAGATCTCGGGAGGTCGTCCCTTCTTGTTAAAGGGTATTCAGACGGTCGATGACGCCAAAAAGGCCCTCGAATATGGCTGTGACGGAATCGTCGTTTCCAACCACGCCGGCCGCCAAGTCGACGGCGCAATCGGCTCCCTCGACGCCCTCGCCGAAATCTGTAAAGAACTCGGCTCCACGCCCAACTTTACCATCCTCTTCGATTCCGGCGTTCGTTCTGCCTCGGATATCTTCAAAGCCATCGCGTTGGGTGCTAAAGCGGTGATGACTGGACGACTCTGGATTTGGGGGTTGAGTATTCAGGGGGAGTTTGGGGTTAGGCATGTTATGAAGAGCTTGTTGGCCGATTTTGATATTTTGATGAATGTTGCGGGATATCCCACGATTAAGGATATTGATAGGAAGGCGTTGAAGTGGATGCCGTATGGAAGTAGTTATAGTGAGGGGAGTAAGTTGTGATGTGTACAGTATAGATACCCTGCGAATACTATTTGTATGTTGCACGGTACATAGATGGGGATAGCTGAGCTTGCGAGTCTCGATTCGTGCGGTATCGATACTCTCAGTTGCATTCGTGCTTCCCCGCAAATGGCTCGTCGGCGCCGAGACAACCACCAACCCCAAAACCCCCATTGCAAGCATCGTGCCAAGACAACAATTGACCAAAAAAGAATGCTAGCAACTCCGTCCTTCCTATCATCTCTCCGTTCCCGTTTCCCTTCTTCGATCTCCAACGACCGTACCTCATGGTACCTCGTCTCCGCCGTGACCTTCTCCATCTGCAACTACCCCGAAGAAGTCGCCAACCTTTTCCGATTTCTCCTGGATGAAGAAAGTGAGAATGCGAGCCTCGCTGCCAAGAAAATCAGTGAGGGGTTGCTGAAGGCGGGGTTGACGGGTGGATTGCCGAAGGCGATCAATGCGTTGACAGAGTTGGGGAAGGTTGTACCGGCGGAGATGAGGCAGACAACGCCATATCGGTTGCTTGATATCAGCGAAGCTGAAAGACAAACTCGTGGTGAGGAGTACTTCAAGAAGACATATGGCAAGATTTCGGAAAGGGTGTTGGATAACTTGCACAATGCTTATCCAGATTTGGGTATGCCCCAGTGTTCACGGCTTTCTGTGTTATCGCTGACAATTCTACAGCTTATACGGCGGTCAAGCATATCTACTCGCCCGTGCTCTCTTACACAGACGTTATTTCGGCCAAAGAGACGTCGTACGTCCTCATCTCTTCCCTGATTCCGCAGGACGTAAATCCACAATTGAAAGGACATCTCCGTGGTGGCCTCAACCAGGGGGCAACAAGAGAAGAGATCGATGCGGTGAGAAGCATTGCAATGAGTATCTGTGAAGTGTGCGGAGTGAAGTGGAGGGGCGAAGTTGCTAACCTGTGAGTGCCATTATAACGAGAAGTATGTATGGGGACTGATAGGGGACAGACCACCAGCAACGCAGGGAGAAACGGCAAAGTAGATAGCGGTATGTCCTTGGGTATCAACAACTGAGAGAAAACGAACGCCTTGTAATGCCCCTGTCCCATGCTTCCATCACAGATACTTCCGGGCAGCGGCCCTAACCTTCACCTCAAATGCCGGACTTGTAATTGGTGCGTCCACCGTGTAGAATGGGTTCAACAGACACTTGACGTACAAGTCATAAACCTCCTGGAAGAATGCACGAATTGCATCGTCCTGCTTGCTGTCGTGTAGCAGCATAATCTTGATGTTTCCTGCGGTGAGGAAGACAGAGATGTTTGAGTTGTTGAAATGGTCGATGTTCTTCATGTAGCAGGATGATGAGGTCCATTGTACTTCTTCTACGATATCCAATGCTGAATGAACGATGAACTGATTCATATGGCGGATGTCTTCTCGGAACTGCTTGTTGTTAGCTATTGATCAACATACCATTGAAGATTGACTCACCCGAGGAACACCGTCGCCTCCTCCTCTCCAAGAGCCAAACTCCATCTGAAAGATTGGGTTGTCTTTTGTACCGACAATTGCGAGATAATACGACATCGTACTGTAACGTAGACTTCCAGTTCCACTCCTTCCCGAGAACGACAGGCCGCGCTGAGTGGGTGTACGGGGTCACGTGCTCCAGCGTCATACGGACACCGTGTCGATATTGAGCCCAGAGAGAGCTGCTACACCAAGAAAGCAATGACAAGACTGGCCTTGTATGGAGCCGTATGTCAATCCCTTCAAGTTACAGGAGAATGCTAACGGGATCACAGGTATCAACGGCTCTGGCGACAGCTGTCGTCCTCGGCGCTTTCATGTCGAGGCCGAACTTTTACGCCGCAGCTGTCTATCTATCACAATCCAATGCACATCTCATCGTCCTGGCAAACTTTGCGCTGTGTCTAACATTAGCAATCACGCATGGTCTTCAGCTACTGCTGTTCGGCCCTCTACGATTGATTGAGCGTGAACGGTTATACGAGAGAGGATGGTATGCACTGACAGAGACATGTTTGGCGATGACAGTTTTCAGGGAGGAGTTTGACGTGAGGTTTATCGTTTGCTTTGTGTGTCTGTTGATTGCCAAGGCTGGGATTTGGTTGTGTGAGGATCGCGTAGACTATGTGAGTTCGCTGAACAGTCGCTGCGCAAGGTCGTTTTGCTGACTACGCAGCACAGATGGAACAGATGCCATACGGCTCTCTGCCATGGTACTTTCATGCGCGGATGGGCGCCGCCCTTTCACTCCTTCTCACAACGTCAGTGACCTTCGTTCACCACGCCTTCGGGTCGACGCTCGTGCACGGACCTAACATGATGATCATGTTCGCATTTGAGTTCGGTATCGTCACCGGACAAGCCGCTGTCAATGTGGCGAAGTATACCCTCAATATCCTCGACCTTCGACGAAGTGATGCGGATGAAGAACCCTGGGAAGCCAAGTCCACCTACGTGTTCTACCTGGAGCTAGCGTTGGGTATGCTATATGTTGAAACATTTGGACGTTAGAAGCTAACATGACATGCAGACCTTTACAAACTCCTCCTTTACCTCGCCTTCTTCCTTCTCATCGTGCATTTCTACGGTTTACCCCTCCACATCCTCCGCGATCTCTACCTCACCGTACGCTCGTTCGTCACCCGCGTCCGCGACTTTCTTCGTTACCGTCGCGCGACCCGCGACATGAACGAACGCTATCCCGATGCAACACCTGCCGAACTCGAGGCGACTGGTGACGCAATTTGCATGATTTGTCGAGAGGAGATGTTATTGCGCAGGGAAGGTGGCGACCCCGTGAGGGATAGGGAAAGGGCAAAGAAGTTACCTTGTGGTCATATTTTGCATCTTGGATGTTTGAGGAGCTGGTTGGAGAGGCAGCAGAGTTGCCCGACGTGCAGGAGACCTGTATTTCCACAGAATGAGCCACGGCCCAATGCCGCACGACCACCACTTGGTGGTCAAGGAGGCGCGAATGCCTTCTTCGCGGGTGCTGGGAATGTGTTTGCCGGTGGCTTCGCGGGTGGTGCAAACTTTGTGCCACCTCCTGCCGCTGGGGCACCGCAGGCGAACGGACCTGCCGGTCCCGCAGCACAGCCGAACGGGGTTGCTTATCAGCTTCCTCCAGGATTGCATTTACCACCTGGATGGACGGTGCTGCCACTTGGCGGAGAGCTTAGGCATGCCGTTCTGGGTGGGCATGGCGTGCCTCTTCCGACACCGACGCAGCCGGCTGATGGAGGAGCTGCGAACCCACACGAGCCGCCGGTGCTCATCCCACTTAACACCCCTGCTGCACCTGGTCGGGCAGCGTCGTCGCCACAACCCGGCCCTGCCGTACCCACTGCATCCCAGTCCGATGGATTATCACGGCCATCCCCAGGTGTGTCACGACATCATTCGACGTCAGCCACTGAGCCTCCGACTACAAATACTCCTCTAATGTCGTGGTTACGCGACGAGATCATGAGCTTGCGAATCGAGGTTCAGCATACGACACAGAGACTGGCCAGCGCCGAGTCCAGATTAATAGCGATAGGTTCCGCACTTGAGAACGCTATCCGCACCGATGATGGCGCCTTCGTTCCGCCTGCTTCACCTTCACCAGCTCTTTCCGTACCCCGCAGTCCTGCCCTTCTGCCGACACTAGGTTCGTTCGCGCGAAGACGTAGTACGGCAGAGATCGCAGCAGACGTGAGGGAGAAGCTACAACCCATATTGAAGGAAAAGATGGAGAAGGTGCATGCTACGATGATGGAACAGCGGAGAAGGAGCGTCACAGCACCTATTGGTTTCGAGGAACCAGTATTCGAAGAAGACGAGGACGAGAAGCCGAAAGAGTCTGTAGCGGAGGCGGTAGGAAGCTCATCACAACCGAGGAGTTCTTACGTTGGGGAGTTGCGGGAGGAAGAATGCGCCGTATTTGAGGAATTTGGAAGTGTTGCAGCGAGCTCGCCTACACGAGAGACGAGTTTGGCGCGAGATGACCACTCAACGTCAACTCCGTCCCGAGCATCAAGTATTCGGAGTACGATAGGGAGGAGTGTCAGATCGAGACCGAGCAGCAACGCAAGCGCCAGCATGTTGCAATTGACCCCTGGGAAGGGCAGAGCTGTTGAGCCAAGTTTGACATTGTCGAGAGTGGAGGATACCCCGGATGACGTGGAAGGAACACCAAGTGCAGGGGATAAGGGAAAAGGAACAGCAGATCCATTGCCATCGGAGTAAAAATGTCATATATTGCAAGCATTCTAGCTACTCACAGGCACAGCAAGGATTTATCACAGTCTCTAAAGCCAATCGAGTCAGCTTTCATTCCTTTGAATTCAAATTCACTCAATGATCCAGGTGCGACAGCACAGACGAGACAGAAGTATGTTCAGGTTATTAACCTTTATGCGTCAATGTCACAATTGGACGTACGACGGCACTTCCTATATAAAATCGGTTTGATATCTCATCTTGGTAACCTTCTGTCTCGTCTGTCACCGCCAGTGCAAGCACGCGACGACGGTTTCGCTGAATCTCTTGAGGAGATAGGTCGAACTTACGTTGAGGAAATGGAAACTGGCTGCAATTGCGATTGTCGTCGTCGTCGTTGATAGTGTAGTGGTGTAGTTCTGTGGACTTTATAGGTGCGAAAAAGTTTGGGTCGTGAGGGGACGACCAGGTGACCGAGAACAGACCTTTTGCTTTTTTATACAGTACTGATGAGAAAATTTCTAAAAATACATTCCTACAGGGAGATGTATGCCGATCAGCCTTCAAACCTGATCTTACCAACCCGATATCTCCCATTGGCCGTCTCCGCAGTGGGCGTCTCTAAAAGGTTGCCTGCAGTTGGACATCACCACCACATACTCCATAGTCTCCAACAAGATGATCGCACGAACCGGACTGAGATCTTTGGCAAGACGCATGTGATTCGGATCGTTTCTGCTTTGAATATACGCTGACTTTGAAACTACAGAAGCCCATGCTGCCGAACTTCGCACTCTTGCCACCGCTGCGCAGACCCCCGTTCCCGCCACCCGCCGTGAGGTTCCTCTCGGCTCCCAGTCCAAGCCCTCCTCTGCTGTCGACCACGTCCTTACCAGCGTCGATGCTGTCGTCAATTGGGCTCGTCAGGGTTCTATCTGGCCCATGACTTTCGGTCTCGCATGCTGTGCCGTTGAAATGATGCACTGTTCCGCACCAAGATACGACCAGGATCGTCTCGGTATCATTTTCCGTGCTTCTCCGCGTCAGTCCGATGTTATGATCGTTGCCGGTACCTTGACCAACAAGATGGCTCCTGCATTGCGTCAGGTGTACGATCAGATGCCCGACCCGAAGTGGGTCATTTCTATGGGTTCTTGTGCGAACGGTGGTGGATACTACCACTACTCGTACTCTGTCGTTCGTGGATGTGATCGTATTGTGCCTGTGGATATCTACGTTCCTGGATGCCCACCAACGGCCGATGCGTTGTTGTACGGCATCTTCATGCTTCAGAAGAAGATGAAGAACACCAGGATCACCAGGCACTGGCAGAGAACTTAAGCTGTGGTGTCTTGGCATCTGGAGGGAGATTATTGGACGCAGATGAAAGATATTAAAGAGAAAGGTTTTCCGGAGCAAGGTCTCAGGATTCGTCGTTCGTTTTCGGGTTTGTTTTTACGGTGTAATTCCCATTGTTTTTGTCAGCTGTCACTATCCTAGAATTGGATTGCATTTTTATATCATCGCATTTTGCAGACATTGACTTCATTGTCATCTCATTGCTCTATGTAATCGCAGGTTCCCGTCGTCAAACTCGGTCCGATGCGTGTGACGTAGGCGCAGATGCGAGCTCGCACGGTGAACGTATACGCAGAACACCCTGGACCAACGACGCATTCAGCAATGGGCGTCATTCCTCTTCGGACGTCGAGATCGACTGCTGCATCGACGAAGAAGCGTCGTGAGCGATTGGCGTTGATCAATGACTTCCGTGCGACCTACCAGCTCTCCGTCATCGACCTCATGGGCGCCGAAGCAATCACGGCACGGTCCGTGAAGGAACTTGCAGAGAGCGACTACGATGATGAGACAATCATGAAGGCTTTTGTTGTGAGAGCCATCGAAGCGCAGGAGCACACAAATTGTCTCACGGAAGTCCTGTTCCACCGCGCATTGATCCGCGCAAAGAAGTCCGAGAAGAGCGGCATGAAGGGTGGTCTGTCTGGCGTACCTGTAACATTCAAAGACACTTTTGACATTGCTACGGTCGATAGTAGTATCGGTTTCTCGGCATGGTGCGATCAGCCCGCCGAAGTCGACGCGGATCTCGTGAGGATCGTGGAGGAGGGGCTAGGAGGCATCTGCTTCGCAAAGACAAACGTACCACAAGTATGTCTTCCAATCTAATGGTGTCGTGTCAATGGGTTTCAGTCGCTTACATTGAACGAGGGTCTGTTGGCATTCGAATGCGGCAATCCCGTGTTCGGCAATACGACGAACCCCTTTTCCTCGAACCACACATCGGGCGGAAGTTCCGGTGGAGCGGCTGCTTTGTTGGCTATGAATGGATGTGCTGTCGCTTTCGGATCGGTAATGAAAGACCTTATATGCGATAGCAGAGTGCAGAGTCTAATCTTGTTCCACGGGTAGGATATGGGAGGATCACTGCGGATTCCAACGCACTACTGTGGTATTTACGCTCTCAAACCTAGCCAGAATAGGTTTTCGTTTGATGGAAATAGAGGTAAGTCTGACGGGAAGGTACTGTCGAAGTCCCGTTAAATCAGCACCCTGTGCACAGGTGTCGACAGCGGCTTTGAAGCTGTTCCGGTGGTTGTGGGACCTATGACACGGTCAATCCAAGACCTGAGATACGTATCACAGCAAGTCCTTGATGCATGTTGGGAGCATCCGGACTTGATTCATGGACGATCGCCACTGCCGATACCGTGGAGAGGGGAGGAGGTCGACAAGGTCCAGAAAATGAAGTTGAGGATTGGCTATTATCTGGAAGGTGAAGTCATTTATAGGACATGAGATATATTTGCTGACTTCAAGCGCCAGACGGATGGTGCAAAACGAGCCCCGCTTGTGCAAGAGCGGTACAGGAATGTGTCAAATCCTTGACACAAGCCGGTCATGATGTAGTTAAGATCGCCCCACCACAAGGTCTCGACCTGAGCACTGCTGAAGATATGATACTGACCAGCAGAAATAGCCGAACGAGCTGCTAAAATCTTTATCGCGCTTTCGACTGCGGACGGGTATGACAGTATTCGTGAATTACTGCGTGAAGGATGCGATCCCCGTGAACCCCCCATGTTCCTGTAAGCTTGCATGCCCCTTATCGCAATGTTTGGCTAACAGCTTCTAGACCGTTACTCACGCCGCAACTGCCTCTCTGGCTGAGATGGATTGTGGTCATCATTATTTATCTGTTAGGGGACGCAACATTCGCACGTTGCCTGCTAATAGCAAAGAGGAAGAGTGCTCGGGATTTCATGCACTGGAGCAAGGAACGACAGGAGTACGAAAAGCTCTGGCAGCAGTCTGTATGGCTACAGAAGGACCTGGATGGCATCATTTGTCCTGTTGTAAGTGGTTGTGATTGTGTCCATTCTCATGATCCATCTGACTTTGACGATCAGAATCCCTTACCAGCTTTGCCACATGGGGCAACTCGTGAATTAAATTTGATAGCATTTGCGACCTTTTTATACAACATCCTCGACTATGCTGTCGGTGTTATTCCAGTCACGACTGTGGATCGTGAGAAGGACGCCATGGACCCTGAACTGCGCTGGAATCCTATTGGCAACCGGAACTTTAAGATGCTGGAATGGAAGTGCTATGGAGGCCGTAATCCTGTATATGATGCGAACACTATGCATGGACTTCCAGTGGGTGTGCAGATTGTAGGGAAGAGGTGGGAGGAGGAGAAGGTTATTGGCTTGATGCAAGTAGTTGAGGAGTCTTTGAGGAGGTGTAGGACCGACGGTGACTCGAGGTGATAGGTTCATTCCCCCGAATATCTTTTAAGCAAATTCACATGACTCCTTGAATAATTAAGCGCCCTTGATTGGTTCGCATTTAAGGTTGGTTTGCGTCTGGAAGCTTTTGGCGACGACCGTGATTGTCGGTCTTGGCGGCTGTTCACCTGATGTAAGCTTGTTTCGAAACGGCTGGGTCACAGAGCGATTTAAATCGATCATGGCTCGCTGTCAACTGCCTCTTGGTTCAGTATACTGTAATACAAACAAGTGCAATGTCCGAGTTCGCGGCTGAGACCGTGAAGTTGCCGATCATCCAGGATCCAGACGAGGGAAACTATGTCCATCCGCCTAGGAAAACGCGTCCGGCAAACACGGCTAGGAACAACCTCAATTTGAAGCTCTTCACTGATGCCTTCTCGCTTCAATTCTGGATCGGCCTAGGGTGTTTCCTCACGATTCTTATGCCTGGGACTTACCGCGTCGTTCCGTTCATCGCCCTTTGGGCGCCTCTCGCTTTCAAGATGCTTGCTGTGAGGACAGGACTCATCAGCAATCCGCATGTTGCGGGGATCCAGCCCAAGCGGACGGCAGCCCATCCCGAGGGAGACATGTCAGTGATGATCTTTGGGGCTCGAGCAAATGGGTGGTTGGGCGCCTTAGACCCGGACTTCCAATGGGCCGGACAAATTCTCGACGAGGTATGTACCATGACGTTATCTAGAGTGCAAAGAACTTATGCTTACTGGCAACATCTATGAAGTCTCTGAAAGTCCTCGACAACGACCCTAACAGCGGTTTGATAGGGTATGAGTGTTATCTTACCACAGAGCGTGCGAGCAACAACTGGATTATGGTTCATACCTACTTCCGAACAGCCGAAGATGCATACCGCTTTGCTCGGACGCTCAGACCCGTAGGGGGTACTCCAGGCTCGCCTTTGGCGCACCGCAAGGTATGTCAAACTTACTGCGAATCCCACTCCTCACTCCTCTTACTTCCGTATAGGTAATCGGAAATTACTGGAGGCGTAAGAACAGTGCTTGCTTGGAGTTATTTCACGAACTTTACGAAATCAAGGATGGTGCTGCTCACAGTGTCTACTACAACAGTTCTGGCTGGGGTCTGTCTAACTTGTGGTACAAAGAACCTTGTGACGCCGAGGGATCCGGAGAAGCCACGTACAAGAACTATTTCATTCGTGGGCATGGAAGCAAGCGTCGTAGTGGGATCAAGTCCATCAACGAAACACTTTAGTTCTGCAGTTGGTTCAAGGAATTTCTTTTCGCATGAATAGTAGTTGCGTTAGTTTGCTTGGTTGCTACACAATTTTGAATAAGATATCTGATCGTGACACATTTCGATTTATAGACCGGGCCGGTCATCCGTCCTATGCTTATTAGCATATCCAAACTATCTGTAGTCTCCGAATCGACCGTCGCTGGCATTCCCACGGCGTCAGCTGCAGGCCATACCTGAATACCCACGCAAGTGGACGTGCCTAATGGTCAAGTCGGCACCGTTATAGGGTTATCCGCGTGAATGACTGAGATTTCGATATCTTCATCCTCTATTGATGTTGTATATCCAAGGTTTAGGTTTTAAAGATGCAAGATACAAGGAACCAGCCTGGTGAAACACACCTTTCCCACCCACATGGTCAAAAGCACGCCCATAACAATGATCGACCACAGCACCGCGACGCTCCGTTTGGGCTTCCATGCTTCTTCCATCTTGATTTTCTTCAGTTCCTCTTCTCCATCACCCTTTCCAGCCTCGGTCATCTTCCCAAATTGCGGCACATGCACGAAATCAAATGCGGTAGGCTGTCCCAAACCAATGGTCTGATCCTCCACGATAACCTTCCACAATATCCTTCGAAGAATCGCTACCTTTTGCATATCCCATGAAGGGACTGATCTGTTTGTATAGATCCAGAGTTTGACGACAATGAACTGCACGAATGATAAAGCCCTGTACCATAAGCCAATCTTGTCCGACGTCACACCGAGCTGATCACTCAGTGTTGGTCCATTGAGCCAACGGACCTGAGCATAGGTAAACTGCGCACTGGTATATGCCGGCGGACGATCCCTCAAGGCTTCGACGCAATTATTGACCAATAGAGGAGATAGCTCCGGATGAGGATTGATCTCATATGCGTAGATGGACTGCATCCAAGCCACCGAGCTCGACGCGGTCTTGAACGGATCGGTTGGACAGCCGATGTAGAATGCGATCAACCTCCACAGCGCAAAGTAATCTTCGATCTCTTGTGGCCGGAGGTAAAGAAACATCCGAGGAAATGACAAGTGTGTGATTGAAGACGAGAAGGAGATGATGGTCGCTATTGAGTCAGCATCGTTAATAGGAATACCGCATTTGTCAATATCATAGTACGATGGATTTGATCGTGCCAGGGTCGTGATCTTGTTCCGCACCCGAGCATGGAGCAACCGTACACGCAGCGTAGACAACCAGCCTTCGCCTGTCAGAGGTTTCAATGCATCCGGATCGCGCGTACACTGCAGAATATGCTGTGTCGTTTCGAACAGTCTTTTTCGAGCAGTCTTCACCGAAAACCCTCCGGTTCGTGCAAGCACCTCCGTGATCCGCCCGGCACCAAACCCACCCAACAGACTCTGATGGAGCAGCGCCGTTAAGAAAGCGCCCGCGTATCGGTAGAAAACATCTTGCCCGCGACGGATCTGCTCCCAGTCAACCCACTCGGGCACCTGCATGGCCTTCTTGAATAAAGCAGTGTCTCGGCCACCGCCACCCTCGTCAAGCAGTTTCTCCAAGGTCGTGTAGCCGGCTGCTAAAGCTTCATCGGCAGCAGCATCGCAAGACCATCGCAGCTTCTCTAAATCCTCGGATCGAACATGTTCTTCGGTCCACGGGAAGTTGATGTCCCACGATCGAACCGTGACACCTGGCCTTACGCTCTTCGGTGTTGGTTTGCCTGGGGTGATGTCGATCACGTCGGTATCGCGGAATCCAAGCATGTAGAACTTAGCTGTGTACAAATCTGCTACTCCCCCTTGGTGGTTGTTGAAATTTGTGGCAACAAGTCATGGTGTAGAGCTTGCTGAAATGTACGAGAATGCCGGGTGATATTGGGGCTGCGTCGACGTACACAGACGAGCAGCCGATCCCCGATCCATATTACAAGTTGCGCGTTGAAACCTTTCTACATGAGTCTGATCATGCTTGTTTTATTTTTCTTTCGAAGTGACGAAGATCTCATAGATCGGTCAACACCGTAGCCAGAACTCGTCCGTCCTCACTCGTTCCCAGGATCAGTACCGAACCCTCCCCTACGATGACCGCACCCAAAGGCTCCATACCTAACCTAACAACACTCTGTTTTCCGTTCTCATCACCACGCTTACTGCCCCAATAGACGTAAGCATTCTTGCCACCCGCTGCACCACTCTCGAGAACCACTGCCCACCTCCCAGTCGGCTCGACCTTGACGTATTTCCTCGATCGTTTAGAAGCGGCAACAAAAGCCAGCGCAGAGTATGAAGCTTCATGCGACATGCCCTCGGCGATGATTTTGTAAACCAGAGCATCTACGTCACGCTTTGCAACGAAGTGCGCCCTCTGCTTGGGATTTGCGAACTGAGAGCCAACGAGTTCGACCCCAGCCACCTCAATAGCAATTCTTCCGTCTTGAACAAGCTGCAGGTATGTGTAGTTGTTCACATCCACACTGTCATCTCTCTCCTCCCGCATACGTGCTTCAGGTAACCCTACGCCGGGATTGTCCTCAGTCAGCGTTTGTGTGTATTTCTCCAGCTTCTCCAACATCGCCGCCCGCTCACTGGGATCCACGTATTCCTCCGCACCGTCGTCTTCCATGAACATATGAGGCCATCGCGTATTAGCGTCTTTCTTCTCGAAATAAATATCGAGGATCTTGATATTGCTCGACTTGTCGGAGTACGAGGACAGAGTCCATGTGCTGTCTTCAACATCAATCGGACCCCACAGGTTCAGCTCCTGGTCCGAATTGAAGGGTTTGAAGATGTCTGCAATGGTCACTTGCAAAGTCTTCGCAGAGTAGTGCACTTTGATGGCGGTCTTTGAAGTTTTCTCAGGCACTGGGATTGAGATGGTAAGATCTGTGCCCGTTTGCGTCCATGTGTACTTCGGCCTAGGCTTTTCTTGATGCTGGTCTTGCTCAAGCGCCACCTCCTCTGATGCTTCTACAACACCGTACCTCTCCGAGCCAGATACAACAAAGACATTTGGTGAGTCCCTGTCAAATGCCGCATATACTGGAATCTCCCGCCCTTCAAGCGTTGATAAGACATCGATCTTGAAACCTGACGTTGCCAATCTTGCATGTTCGACCCGGTAACATCTCTGGACTGAACCCTGCTTGTTTTCACCTATTACCTCCTCTCCCGATGGACGGCAGACCAGGATCTGGATAGAGTCATCCTGAGCCATGAACGCATCAAGCAGCAATACGGGTTCCTTTTCGTTGCTGTATGGAAGTTGAGCAAAGATCTCAGCTCGAGCGTTTTCTTCTGACAGACGTAGGCAGTAGAACAGCCCAGCGCCGTCGGATACCAACAGTAAGTCTTGCCGTACTGCATTTACAGTCGGGTAGTAAGGATATAGATCGGTTTTGTCCAAACTCTTTAGACTCCCGGGATTTGGTAGAGGAATCCGTGCCACGACCGACGACGAGGTTTTTCGATTGTCCTAGGTGAGACTTAGGCAAGTCCTCTGTGAAAAAGTGCTGTAACATACGCTATTCCAAGCGACCCTCACAACTTCTCCCTCAGCTGCCACATACCAAGCACTCCCTTTCTCCCACCCCGGCGTCAAGAACTCCCATTGCGTCCGAACTCGTACCTCGCTGTATGGCACTCGTGCACCAACAGGTAACGTCGGTCGATATGGCGGAAGCTCGAGTTCTTGCGTGATCAGGTTGTCACGATCATTGAACGATGCAAACTTGTACCCGTTGAAGTGAGGGTTGAGAAGCTCCTTCTTCGCGAAGAGCTGAACCTGTTTTGGCTGGGCTGCTAGACCTGGCATGATTTCAAGTCAAACAAATGCTGACACTAACTCGACAGAACTCTCGGGGTAGAGCTGTTGTTGCTTTTTCTGGTACGCTGACGTCGAGAAAGTCTACGTTACTTCCAAATTCGGTGGATAGCGTGGGACCAAGACCTGGTTGCGTAGAGCAAACGGGAGTAGAAGAGACACATTTAATGTTGAGAAAGTGTGATGTATGACATAGAGTCCGTTGTATTATGTGCTATTCGCGAGACGGACAAACCCTGAGCAGAACTCCCTCAACCAAATATGCACCCCAAGCCTTTTCAAAGTGATAATGCGCCAATCTACCTTTTCCCGAAGCCAGAAACACCTCATGCAGTGAGCTGTCTGCTGAAAATCCACTCCTGATCGGGCCCTTGCAACCCTCTCGACCTCACACACCCATAATGCGTTCCACTAGCTGTCGTCCGGCCCTTCCTCAGAACGTGTCGATGATCAGGTAAATCAACTTTTCTTCTCTTGTCAGGAACATGTGAACCGAGCAAGCGTCTGACAAAGTTGATCATCTCGAACGCTCGACATTCGTAACGCGGAGAGGAGGATGGAGGCGTTCTCGATGTATCCTTCGCACGCTTGGAACCACTGACTTGCTGTCCAGCCCGCTGGAGGGAAGGACACATCTCCGTGATTCCGACTTCATAATCCGCGTCATTCTTCTGTAGTGAAGAATGTTCGACCTGTTCTGTAAGTGTACTCTCGGTGGCCGAAGCTGCCCCAGAGACCAACTGATCCACCATACGACACGCGTCAACATCGTGGTTGATGTCGATAGTGGTGAATACTTCCATATTCTTCGCATCGAAAACCATCTCCTCGATACAAATCGCACTCGGCGCAACACCTTCCACAATAACATCCTTTTCGAACCAAGGCGATACTGGGGGTGTCAATGGGAGAACCACTCTGATCGCAGCTTGCTGAAGCTCAACGCTCAGTGGTGCGGGCAAGGTCTCCGGGACATAGACCTCCTCGCATTCCTCTTCATCCCAGTAGCAGCCCTCCACAAGCGCCGGTAACATAACATCCCTCCAGTCAACAAACTCCTTCCTACTCAAGCTCACATGATAATCCAAGACACCGAGCGCCCAGTGTAAAAGGGTGTCGAAGTCCTTACGGTCGAACCTTAGCCAATTGCACCAAATCTTGGGCGTAACAGGAAAGTCTGACATAGCAGCGATTCCGAGAAACAAACATACTCCGGCGTAGTGACTCCAGAAGTGCCGGTCGGGGACACCTTCCGGCCTTTCATTCAAACCAAGCTCGTACATGAACCTCAAGGCGGAGAAGAGGACGGTAGCGTCGACATATGTGCATTCATAACCCCTCTTGTCAAAGGACTTCATGTCTTCGAGACACTCGCCAATTTGAGTGAGCCAATTCTCGAACCATTCCTCGAATTGGACCGGCACAGGGAATTCCGTAAGACGGAGGACTTCAACGGCGATACCGGCGAAGTCGTCAATAGCCAATTCAACGTGACGTGCGCAGGCAGACATGGTTTGAACTTTGTAGGGGGTCGTCGAGCTGATATGCTTCGAGGGAAAAGGCGAAGCAAGAGTGATCTCATCAGGGTCCGAGAGCGTGTGGGACATGATGTGGTCAGCGAGGATTGTAGTAATGTGCATCGTCAAGACTTGTAGTCGGGATCAGATGTGTATTGGGGTTCATCATAGCAAGCCGATGGGATGGGAAGTCCGTCTGTCTTTATAATGCTGAACGGCATCACACGGCCTCTGAGGAAGCTCGCCTCCTTGGCGTACGCGTCATACTCGGTCGTCGGGGAATGAATCGAGGGTCCTCGCCTCGGTTACGGCGGCCGCGGGATCGTTAAGGAAGGACGTTCCCTGCTGAGCAAGGTGACACCAATTGAGACTGCTCGGGCAACATTTTGATTGGGCGGCGTTGGGGACGGCCCGGCCCGGCCGCGGCTGCGGTCGGCCCGATCTGCAGCGCAGCAGTTCCACGGCAGCGAAATGCATCCGATTTGTAGGAGAAATTAAGGTTATGTTATACAGCGAGCAGGCGCAGCAGCTGCTCTTAGCTACAGGTGACACCATCATGAGATTCAACTTTCGCCACGATTTGGTGCTACGGGGATTGAACTCATGATCGCCAAGCCGGCGCCGTACGTATGTGGGAGCAAGATGGGGTACTGAGTGGAGCGGACCATTGGAGACATGGGAAGCGGCAATCCGAAAGACAATGTATGTGCAACGTTGAAGCTATTCCCGAGGACCAGCATCCGGTCTGCTTCTTCGCTTTACCGAGGTTTGTGGCCGCGATACCGTTGCAAAGCCGCACAAAGGCGCGCTCTCAAACATGCGAGTTTCCAGTAACACTATGTGACAACGGGATATGAGCACGTCAACTGCGGACTTCATCTATACCTGAGTATGGCACGGGGTTAAGGGCCGGCGCATGCGGGAATCCGATATTGTCGCTCATGGTGACACCGCACGTGCACCAGCTTGTGACAGATGTTCACTCATGAAGAGAGATTGCAAGAGTCACAGACTGCTTTGACCCAGCTGACAAATGCGTTGTTCCACAATGGCCATTGCTGTTGCGGTCCTTGTTTGCTGTCTGATGAACTTCGTCACTTACATAGACAGTTTCGCGCTCGGGCTTCACACCAGCAGCAGTATGCGGTCACACGCTACCATGTACACACACAACTGAATGCCGCAAGAGGAAGCTGCACGTAGGAGACCTTCGACGGCCAACGATCGCGACGTCCAAGACCAGTTGTTCCAGCATTTCGTCATCCCTTCTTCTCTCTTTGCTTTTTCTTTCTTTCGTTATCTACTGCTCTCCGTCCGCACGCCTGACTGTCTGGCACCGTCAACCCGAAGCCCTCGACATTTCAGGGATCGCATATATTTACACCGTGCATCACTCCGACTACTTCCTGCTCGTTCCTTGACATGACGCCCAAAGAAATGCTTGTACGTGGTTTCCAGGAGCTGTGCCGTCAGCTTGCTGATGATGCGCAGTTCATGTTACCACAACCCCTTTTCGGGGAGGAGGACACGGAAGTGCAACAGCTTCCTCAAATGTGGTTCTGTTTCTATCAGGCGATCAGTGGGATGTATGCGCCAGTGTCGGGCAAAGCGTCGGAGAAACACGTGCAGTTCTACCTTTCGGTACGTTCACCATCAGCACGCTAATCTATGAGGATGTATGCTAACTATAACCTTCGCGTAGGTACTGAACCTCTTCCTACACGTAGACTCGCATCGCTGGGCGAAGGCCGCAGCAGGTTTGGACTTCATCGTAAGCATCAACTCACCACTCCTCGCCCAGTTCTTGCATGTCTTCGAAGTTCTGGGAGTTGGTACAGAAGAGTGGCTCTACTCGCTGTACATCGTTTTCAAGATCCGGAAGAACAAAGAAGCGCCTCTGAAAGATGCTCTGAATTTTGAGTTCGTGCTCGCCGCTCTGTTCGTGGGAAGTCAGCGTACGTATCCAAACTCCCAAAATATGGAGCTGAGCTAACCGCCTAGACAGAAGCGAAAGCCTATGACCGGGTTGCGACGAAAGTGAGTGAAACAGAGATGTCCGAAGAGTTATCTTATTGGGCTGAAGAGTTTGAATGTCCACGCATCTGCCAGCTCGCAGGAGTCCTCCAAGAGCAGTGGGAGGATTCCTGCAAAGAGATGACCGAGGTTGCGCTGGAGAAAGATAGCACTCTAACAGGCGCGGAGATCTTTGCCAAAGACTGGTGCAAATTCTCCGATCACGCGATGGAGTGGGTCTGCGATGCCTTTGCTCCGAAGGTTGACAAGTCCCGCCCGCTCACACCTGTGTGGAGAGACCGAGAAGAACTGCGAATGTGTCACTTGAACAACCTCAAGAACCAGCCTAATCCTTTTGCAATTCAACCAGACCTGCACTGGAATTCAGACCTGTTTGCCAGACGATTTTGTCGATTGGCGTATGGCACGTCCATGCTCGAGAGTCCCCCGCCAGAAATCTTGGAAGTAGCATATAACTTCCACGCAGGATTCCACGAGTGTGATGGTATCTCAGATGAGACCATCACCCTAGCTCTCCTGTACGCTTATAAGTTTGCCTGTTCAGGGGATTTGAAGGACGAGTCGATTTCAGGTCATATCGCCATGGCCGTATGTCTCTATTTCGCAAGTACTTTACAATACGACATTGACTACACGCCAAAAACGTTTGCGGATGTGGCAAGGATTAAAGTCCCCGGATTCGTTAAAGTTAAGGAACGGCTCGTCAAAGTGACTAAGGGTGACATTCACGTTACTTGCGAGGAATGGACGGCTTGGCAAGGTGAGGGGATTGAAGAAGCGTTGACCAATCCCAAGCAGACACGTAGTAAGGAGGGTGCTGCCCAGGCCGAAGAAGAACTAGACCTCTTCCTCCAGGATGTGGATTCCGGCACTGAGGCTGACGTTGACACTATTGAGGACGACAGAGATGATGAGGAGGAAACTGGTGAGAGCATTGAGAGCGGACATCCGGAAGAAAGCTCCGTTCCGTTTACACCCCTCTTCTCGAACTTCCCGCAAGATTCGACCCTGTCTCCGGCTACAACCGCCGTTCCCGAAATCATTGTCAACGGCCCTGAGCTCAGCCAAGGCGGGTCGACAGTGGAAAGTCCTGTCAATGTGCAGACTTCTGGGAGACCTGATCTTGTGCCGTCACCCACTGAAGGCTGCTTCAAGTTTGAGGAGAAGAAGGCCGCTGATGAGAACTGCATCTCTACTCCCAAACGCCCAGCACTGACCTCCATTCTGGCCGTGCGAGGCGATCATCTAAGCGATTCCCTGACGTGCACCGTTTCGGTTCAAGAGGTGGCCGGAAAGTTTGGCGGATCCATCTTCAGAAGGCACAACAGTGTTCAGTTCCGACGTGCTTCGTTCGAAAGTCCGGTACATCTGCGGGCTGGACACCAAAAGGCGGCGAGTTACAGCTGTCCGGACTTCTCGGCGCACGACAAACGGTCGAAAGGCTTCAGAGTTGGGAGACTGAAGGTTTCGCAGCTGTTCAGCTTCTTCGAGCCCCGCCGTTAGATAATTTGGATAATGTCAGGGAGTATATGCTTAGAGGTGGTGCATTCATGGACAAAAGGGACATTCATAGAGTTGGGTAGAGTTGTTTAGTAAATTAGTCCGCACGTGTACGCCGCCATAGAGTAAGTATTCAAATGCTATCCTGATAACTAAATCCGTTCTTGATTCCCCCGTTATATCCCAACATGATCCAAAAACCCTTACCTTCTCCTGACCCGCCTCGTTGACCGCTCAGGGGCGTAATCGCTCGGCTGTCTAGCCCCCATATCATCAGCCTTCCGCTTTCTCCGACTGTTCGGACTCAACGCGAGAAGCTCCTTCTGTTCCTCCCATTTCCTCTCCGCCTCCTCGAACTCCTTGATATCAATATCCAATTTAGTTATATCCTCCTCATCCATCTCAGAAAGCGGCGACATCTCCCTGAACATGTCCCCAGGCCACTGTTCTTCTTCCGCAATGGACATACCCACTGGAGCAAACTTGCTCAAGTCCGGAACCATGCCAGTTTCGGGTTGGAGGTCCAAACAAGCTTCTTTTTGTTTCGCCTCTGCAATCAATGGCTTCACTGTCCGCTTTATTCGCTGAGCAGTTGCGTAGTATGTTGTCTTCTTGGCGTTGTACAACATAGCATTGTCATACACCTTATTGAGAGCTTCCTCAAAGTCCGAGACAGTGAGGTATTGGCCCTTCAAAAGACGCTCACGGACCATGCTCGTGGCGATCGGTTCCTTCACAACGGTATAATAATCCGGTGCATCACCCTCATCAACCAAATTCCCAAACATATCCTCCCGATCAAGCGTCTCAGCCCGATCAATCACCGACACTACAAGCGGCACAGTAGGGAAATATGCAAGCTGCATAAACTCCCGCCCCATCTCCGTACACTCCAACTTGATCCCCTCCCTCTCATTCACTTTTCCGATGATGGTGATAAGTGTCTCCAGCTCCTTATGCAGCGCCATCGCGAAATCGAGTTTCTTCGTCTGCTGCTCCTCTGACAGCTTCTTCGAGCTTGTCGCGTTATCCATCTGGATTTGTAATCGCTTCAACAGGTTTGCACCCTTCTTCGACTCGCGCTTCAGTGACCAATATTTGCACATCTCAGCAACGAACGACGTCTTCTTCCGGATAGTGAACTTTTGCATGTACGCCAGCACCTGATTGAACACGTACTGAGGAATGATGGGTGCATTGACCGTGAACGGCTTCGTGACTCGAGCAACGCCTTTCTGTGTGTTAATAATCAGCTTCCCCGCAACTGGCGTCGAAGGCTCCGAACTCTCACTCGACAAGTTCTCATAAGGGTTATACGGATGTTCCTCAAACCACCTCCTCGCCTCATAGAGCTTCTCACACGCATTCGTCGCATCATTGTACCCCTCCGGACTATGCCTCAAACACGCCCCCTTCAACAAATGCTTCTCGAAATGGCCCCCATGTTTCTTCATATCCAAAAATAATCCAGCTTTCCGGGCGCAAGTGACGTGGAACGCATCGAAACACGCTTTATTGCTGCACTGGATACATGCTCCGACTTTTTGTCGGCAGATGGTACAGGTGAGCTTCCACCTCGCTTTAGCGATTTTGTCGACCCCTTCGATTGGTTCCATGAGGACTTGATTGCCCAAGGACAGTTCGGGGATGAATAGTGCGCAAAGCAAATGTCCCCACTCATTTTCCTTCGTTTGCTTGTACGCGCCCCCATGAACCGGACAAAACAAACAGTTCACATTCGCGTTCGCCGTGATCTGACACTTCCGACACAACCACTGTCCTTCCGGAATATATGGCACGCCATAACACTCCTGATGCACAACCAAATTACATCCATCACAGAACACGATCTGGTTATCGTGTGTTCCCTCCCCATCATCGCAGATACTGCATCTCTGGTCTTCCGCATCGCCTTCCTCATCCTCCTTCTTCGGAATTTGTTGATCGAGCTTCGTCCACTCTTTCTCAATCTTCGTTAATGTGATCTCGAATACCTCTGGGGATATCTCATCTCCCTCCGTCTTCTTCCTCTCCGCGTTGTAGTCCATCAACCACTGCTCGTCCTGCTCGTCCATGTCATACTCCACCCGGTCGCTCAGTTGGCTTTCCGGGATGTAGTGCTCGGTTGAGCGAATGTATCCGTCTGTTGGACGAGTGAAGAAGGGAGATTCTTGGTAGCCGGCACGAGCCATGGCTTGGTCGACATGTTTTTCGATGGGGCGGAAGGGAGGGAGGATTCGGTAGCGGGGTTTTGGGAGGTGTGCGTATTTGGACTTCGGGGGGTTTTCTGGTTCGCGACTCGGTACTTGTGTTTGTGATTGTTGAGGTGCGGGCTCGGGCTCGGGTTCGGGTTCGGGTTGTGGTTCTTCGACAGGCTGCTCGGCTTCTGGATTGACTTGTACCTCTAGCTCATCGACGTACTCCTCCACCTCGTTTGTTGCAGGAACTGGCGCTGCAGTCGTGTCGTCCGCCGCTTGCGCTCGATCGTCTCCAGACGCTCCAGCTATTGGCTCATTCGACAAAGCTGCATCCTGTTCCACCGTAATTCCTTCGGCAACAGTTTCGTTCTCTGCCACCTGCGCATCCTGAGTCACCTCAACTGCGTTCTCCTCCTGATTGGCCTGCTCTTCCTCCACGGCAGGCGCGGGTTCTTCTTCGAGTGCAATGCCCACCACTCTGAATTCCAACTTCATCGCAAGATCCAGATCCGGATGAAACTCCTTATAAGACCTCTCCTCCCTCGGCAACCCCTCATACAACGCCTCCTCCGTCTCAATGCCGCGTCCAGCGCTGGCAGCCCTCCCACCCCGTCCTCTCACCCTCCAATCCCCCCCTCTCGGATAACGACCACGCCCTCTATTACGACTGCGCGGAGCCATCAGGACTGGTTGGTAGAGTGTATGCTCCGGGGGTAAATGCTGTTTCACGCTGCTCTCTTCCTTTGCGACGCGTCCCGGGCCGTATGCCCTCTGGCGTGAACGCGCTCTCCGCCCTGCAGTAGCGTCATACACCTTCCGCCCTGGAAACCCGGGAAGCGGAACGCGGGAACTGGAAACTTTACCTCCAGAGACCATGAATGCAATCCAGGTGCATTCGAGTCCCGTGCTGGAATGGCTGAGTAGAGCCTCTGGGTGGATCTACTTTGTCGCTTGGTCGCTGTCGTTTTACCCGCAGGTTCGTCCGCGACGGGGCGTGAGGGAGCACCGTTGACCTACGTCATACAGGCCATCCTCAACTATCGTCGAAAAAGCGTTGAAGGGTTCTCACTGGACTATGGGAGTCTGAATGTATCATATAGTCCTTGTTCCTGTGGAATGCAAGTGCTGATATGTTACAGGTCCTCGGTTTCCTCTGTTACTCCATCTACACGTACGCTACCTCAACTCTCCATATTCCTGCAGCTGTGTTGACATTCTACCAGATTGGGCTTCCTCCTCTTTCCTACCCTAAGCTCAGCCGAAGATGCCCCTCTCATGCGCTTCAACGACGCCGTTTTTGCCCTCCACGCCCTTGCACTGTCCTCCTTCACGCTCTTCCAAGCTTACGGACTCGGCTACCGGCGTGCCCAGAACCAGAGTGTCAGTCCAGCAGCAACAGGGATCTTCGCAGGCGCAGTCATCTCCTGCGGATTGTTGCTATTGAGAGCGATGTGGATGCCGAAGGAGGATCCAGATGCGTGGGTCGACATTCTCTTCGGGATGAGTTATGTGAAAGTCATCGTAACTATCTTCAAATACGTCCCACAGGTCCGCTCGCTCCCTCCCTCCCCCTTCCACATCCACTAACATTTCCCAGGCTCTCCTCAACTACCACCTAAAATCAACCCGCGGCTTCTCCATCCACCAAATCACCCTCGACATAACTGGCGGCCTCCTCTCCAATGCACAACTCTGCCTCGACGCATACATGGCGGGAGACATGAGTGATGTTACGGGGAATCCGGCGAAGTTTGGGCTGGGTGTTTTGAGCATTGGGTATAACCTTGTGTTTTTGTGGCAGCATTATGGGTTGTATTGGAGGGAGAGGGAGGAGAAGGGGGGAGGGGAGGATGAGCTGGCGTAGGGGATTTTGAGGAGGGACATAAGGATACCCATTGTTATACCCAGATGAATGTGAAGTATTTGTTTCAACTGTTGACAATCTTCTACGGTGCAACTGGCGAGGCCACGGTATGAGGATTTGACTCCATCAGGAAGACGTCATAGCGTGGGAGAACCGCACACCCACCTTCAAACCCGTCCGTAGCGGTAGCCGTCCGCTAAACACAGAGAATCATCCTCTTGCCCTAAACCCACATCCCTGCCGAATTGCCAGTTAATCCGTTCGCCCGCTTGTTCCCGTGAGTCAAGCGGGCGATCTGCGGCGGTGTGTCACGCTAGACCCCACACCGCACTCGAACCTCCGAACACCCTCACCGGACACCCGCAAACACCTATCCGCATCCAATCCTCCATCGGCCTCCCTTGCCTTTTTTTCACCAGCATACACCCCCATCATTTGTGAAGTTCCCATCTCAATCGATCCAGTTTGACGATCATGAGTGCCGGGTTTAAGTTTACGAGGGCTCTCGAGGAGCAGATTCGGCATTATGCTTCGTTCCCGCAGACGGGAGTTTCGTTGCAGCAGATGGTTCAGTTTGGTATGACACAGATAAAGGCATGGTATTGGGCTTACGCTGACGGATTCTGCATACAGGCTCGACCCCGTCACAAGGCGTCCTCTTCAAAGCGAGTCAATTCATTTCGGAAGAGTTGCCAATTCGTCTTGCGCACCGAGTAAAAGAGTTGGATGAGCTACCGAACCAGTTGAATGAGATGCCATCTATAATCAAGGTCAAAAACTGGTATGCGGAGTCGTTCCAGGTATAGTGGTAACCGGCGCTGGATAATCCGTTCATGGACTCACCTGCTTTACAGGAACTTACCAGTCTGCCAAAACCTAACCTGCCCGACGACATCCGGAAAACGCTGAAAGCCAACGGAAACGGCGCCCCAAGAATGGCAGATAACACGCCCAACCTCATCGAGCAAGAAACAAACAGCAGCGGTGTCAGCACTCCTCGGCGGAAATCCGTGCCTCTGAGCAAACGTTACTACGGTCCCGTGCAGGACATCAACTGGCCACCAGAGGTTCTTTCTTACAACGAGAAAATCACGAAAACCTTGACCACGATTAAGCGACGTCATGATCCCCTTGTCACTACCGTCGCTCAAGGTGTTCTCGAGTACAAACGCCTCCGTCAACGATCTCAGATCGACACTTCCATTCAATCTTTCCTTGATCGTTTCTACATGTCGCGTATCGGTATTCGAATGCTCATTGGCCAGCATATCGCCTTGAACACGGAACCACCGCGTCCGGATTATGTGGGTATCATCTGTACTCAGACGAACTTGAAGCAGATTGCGCAAGACGCCATTGACAATGCGAGGTTCATTTGTGAGGATCACTATGGGTTATTTGATGCGCCAAAGGTGCAGTTGATTTGCCCGGATGAGTTGAACTTTATGTATGTTCCTGGACATCTGTCGCACATGCTCTTCGAAGTCTTGAAGAACTCTCTTCGTGCGGTTGTCGAGACCCACGGCGTTGACTCTGAGTCCTTCCCTCCTATCAAGATTATCGTTGCTGAGGGCAAGGAAGACATCACCATCAAGATTTCCGATGAGGGAGGAGGTATTCCACGTTCCGCCATGCCTCTCGTCTTCACCTACATGTACACCACCGCCGGCGAACAGTCCCTCGACCCTGACTTCGCAAAGTCAGACTTCAAGGCGCCCATGGCTGGTTTTGGATACGGATTGCCGCTGAGTAGACTCTACGCGAGGTACTTTGGCGGTGACTTGAAGTTGATCAGTATGGAGGGTTACGGAACGGATGTGTATTTGCATTTGAACAGGTTGAGTACTAGTCGGGAGCCGTTGCCATGATGAGATGAAGAAAAGAGGAGAGGCGCGATGTACGATTATTTAGGACGAAGAAGAAACAGAAAGGAAGGATAGGGTAGGGAATCATCTTAATGAACAGGGCGTTCATACATACACGTAATTGGATAAGCTTAAGTCGACCCTCCTTACTGTCAGCATTCTCATCCTCCATCCCCTTTCCCATTACATCAGATGGCAATTTCGCTTCCATTTCGTAGTCCGTCTTGGCCTGGGCCTCAACCGCGTTTCCGCGCGGGACCCCTCACACCAGTCACGCTTCTATTTCAGGCAGCCCCAACGTTCCACGCGTCCGCCAAGAGTCCAAAAACCGATGTCATCGAGCGAACAGGACCCCTACCTTACATTTCTTGAGCGAGCGAACAAGTCGTATGAGAGCAATTCAGTTCACACGGCCGGTGGTCCTCCTGGAGAAGTCATGCAGGTGAGGGAGGGGGAGGGTCAGGAGACGGGTAAACTGCGCGATGTATGCGAGCGGACGTGGTATGCTTCGGAAAGCGACGAGCGTTTTGAGGCGGTCGTCCTTGATTCGCTGCCTGAATTCAACGATGAGTTTACTGTCGACGAATGGGATACCCACGGACAATATCGCGCACTGGCCGACGCCGTCCGCGGAGCTGGGGAAGACCCAGAGAAGGGCCACGTCAAGGTCTACAAGGTGCCTGGAGAAGGAGCGAGGGTGTATTACTATGTCTTGACAAGAACGAGAGCCGGAGGATACGTTGGAGGCCGTGTACTCTCTGTAGAAACGTGATTTCAACTTAATAAGGTTGCCCTCAATTAAAGGATTGTAGCTGGGTGTGTACGTGGCGCTCGGCGTTGTTTTCATTGCCCTACACAAATTCCCCTTGCGGGAGGATCTACACACAGAACTCAGAACACGCCGCGCCTCAGGTACGGTACGCTGGAACCTCGAATCAACCGTAAGGTCTGTCTGTGCTCGGTGCTCTGTGCTGTCAACGAAAAGTCGTCCATCGAAGAAAACGACAACGACAACGACAAGGACAACGGCAGTGACGAGCGCTGGCCGTTATTTATCCTTGATTTGAACGACCGCTTATTGACGACTATTTAATCCCCTGGTCTTATCAGCTGCGACCGCATCACTGCTCTCCGCAGTCGAAGCATATACCTCCTGAATCACCAACTTTTGCGCTGTGCGCTTTTCGTTCCTTCCCGCAGGGTCATTTAAAGCTGAAGAGCGACGAGCTTTGCTGTTATAAATAGGTATGCGGTTATCGACTGGTTGTACGCGGGGGTTTCATGGCTCCATGAGATGCACGGGAGTGGCTTCTTGCCAAGGCACCCGAAGTGTATGATGGTCTTGGGAGCCGAGATACCCGCTGAGTATACCAACAACTTCACTGGAGAACTGTTCAGCTAACGCGTGAATGGGTACAGCTTGGCGATACGAGAGCATTCACCCCTGAGTATCCGAGCCTGACAGCAACATGCCCCGCCAAGCACCGCTCCCGCCTCAAAGTAGGCGTATGCCTTCGAGCCTTCAGAACTCTCAGGCGTCGACACCGTCGACATCAGGTTCATTCTCGAACGGCAACGGTTCGCGAAGCCTGCTGTCACCACCCGGTCATTCGACGAACGCCCGCGCATATACCACCGCCGAGTCCGCTTCGCATCTACCGACCGAGAACCCGTTCATGTCCCACAGTGAGCTCCGGGTACCAGGTGCTTCCAACAGCCGACACATTCCGCAAATTCCGCCGCCGCCGAGTTACCCATCACCGCGCAATCAAGACCCAGATCTCCTGAGTCCATTCAGGTCGCCGTCAATCGGCTCACGAAGAAGCAGTATTACCGACTCCAGACGAACCAGTGTGGCTTGGGATAATAACGACCGCGATTACGACGACGCTTCCCGCATCCAGACGGGTGAGGTGGGGAATGCGTTCGGTCCGTATGCGTATGAACACGACATGACCTCGAGAAGGTCCAGCTACAGCGTCGCTCCACCAGACTCATACCCGTCGACACAGAGCATTTCGGAGAAATATGCCATCACACCATCGACGAACTTGTTGTGGAGCACGAAGGACGTGGAACCCGATGATTATATGCACAACCCTGACCCGGTCAAGGACAAGAAGGAGGAGAGAGCTTGGTGTGCAGGGCCGTTGTCGAAGCGTGGTGCTGCGAACGTAGGTGGATTGATTTTGATTACTCTGGGACTGTTGATGTGTTTTATCGGATACCCGATTATCACGGAGTTAAAGAGGGTTGTGGAGGGAACCACCACGGTCTGTGACGAATCTCAGGGCTGCGTCATCGGAGCTTCCGAGGACCAGCCAGTCCTTTCAAATGCGATCCGGACAGATCTCATTGACCCAGATACTCCATCAAAATTCTACACTAAAAAGGGGAAGAAGGGCAACACGCTGAACTTGGTCTTCTCAGACGAGTTCAACCAGGATGGTAGAACTTTCTACCCTGGTGACGACCAATTCTTCCAGGCAAATGATCTTCACTACTGGGCTACGCAGGATTTGGAGTGGTATGACCCGGATCAGGTCACCACAAAAGATGGTACTCTCCAGCTGAAGATGTCTGCATACCGTAACCACAACCTCAACTACCGCTCTGGTATGATTACCAGCTGGAACAAACTCTGTGTCAAGGGTGGTTTGATCGAGGCTTCTATATCGCTACCTGGATCTGGTGACAAGCAGGGTCTTTGGCCTGCATTCTGGACGATGGGCAACTTGGGTCGCCCTGGCTACGGTGCTACTACCGATGGAATGTGGCCTTACTCTTACAACAGCTGCGACGTCGGTATTACTCCTAACCAGTCGTCGCCTGATGGTATCAGCGGTCTTCCGGGTATGAGATTGCCTTCTTGCACTTGTAGCGGTGAGGATCACCCTAACCAGGGTATCGGTCGTTCTGCCCCTGAGATTGACGCCATTGAAGCCGCTGTTGATGGTGATCACTTGCTCGGTCACGCCTCTCAATCCCTCCAGGTCGCACCCTTCGATATCTTCTACACGCCCAACTTTGACTACATGGAAATCTACAACACAAGCATCTCGCAGATCAACACTTACCGTGGAGGTTCCTTTCAGCAATCTGTTTCTGGCCTTACCAACCTAAACAACAAATGGTACGAACACGGCGAGCAGGAATTCCAATCCTATGGCTTCGAATACGTCCCAGGCGCAGAGGGCTGGGTCCAATTCCGCGTCGGCGACGAACCAACCTGGGCCGTCGAGGCTCCAGCCATCGGACCCAACGGCAACATCGGCCAACGCATCATTCCCGAAGAACCCATGCAACTCATCGCAAACTTGGGTCTCTCAAACTCCTTCACCTACATCGACTGGCTCGCGCTCGACGAGTTAGGATTCCCGTTCGTGATGAAGATTGATTATATCCGTGTTTACCAGGATGAGGAGAGTGTTACGTGTGATCCGCCTGGGTATGAGACTACGCAGTATATCTCGGATCATGAGGTTGCGTATACGAATTATAATTATACGAATTGGGAGGCTGCTGGGTATGACTGGCCGCAGAATACGTATGTCATCCTTCCCCTCTTCTCTATCGCCATGTGTTTACTGACTTTGTGAATTAGGTTGATGAATGGATGCAGTATGTAAGGCATGGCTATGACTGATCTGCCCTGATTTCTTTATATTTCTCATGAGTTTGGTGTGGTTTAGCTAGCTAGACGGACATTTTGCGTTATGTCGCGAGTTATTTGCGTTTTTGTTACAAGAAGGGAAGGACGGTGTCTGCACAAGTGTATTTGGTTGCGCATTTTCAATTCATGCATACTACCGAGTCTGTCCTAAAAGTCGTTGTTCTTGTTGCGTTTCGTTCATATGTCTTGTGTCTTAAGCTTCTCAGATCTTTGTCGGAACCTGTCCCTGGTCATTGGTTTCGCTTCTCATACTCGTCGTTGTGGCATGTTGTCTCCTCTTGTCATTTCAGGTCCATTCAGGCTTCACTGCCACCTCCCTCGCCGTCCCCTTACTCACAATCTTATCCACATCTCCACTTAACTCCGGATACGCCCCCTTAATCTCCTCCGCAAGAACATCCCTAAAACTCTGTAACACAAATCAGCAAAAAGTCCTCATCGACATGCCACTGAACTTGCGGTACCTTCATCGTGTCTAGCTTTCCTTTCATGTATTGGTTCTTCTTGAGTGCTTCATCTGCGTGTTGGCGGGTATAGAGGTCTGGATTTCGTCCTTCGTCAACATATCTATCGGGCACTCAGCATACACCCTCAAACATATAGCTGGAACGGGACATACTCGATGACTTGTCTCGGTACAGTAACCGTGACATTCTCCGCTAATCGATCCAACTCCTTATACTCCTCAACAATCGAATTCCTGTTAATCCCAACATTAGCACAAGTTACAAACACCTAGCTGTTGGAATTAACAATTTCTGGTATATGTGATTATGAGGACCGCCTTCGAAGTCATTGAGGGCGATGCCGGTTTCGAGGATGATCTCGATTGTTTGGCGGAGTTGGCCGTCGACTGCTGCGAGGATTTGGGTTTGGTCTTGTGCTGGTGGTCGTTGTTGTGGTATCGTCTTGTCCTCGGACATCCCAATTGCCTGCTGTAGGGGATGAATGCTGGATGAATGCTGGATGAATGGGGGCGGTGTATGGGTGTTCGGGTGTAGGGGGTTCCTGCATCGGCGGATGTGGCCAACTCCCCTCCAACAACGACCATTGCAAACCCCAAGTCAGCTGCAGTCGAGATGGAGGAGAACAGGATGCTCTTCAGTCCGGCAGCACCACTCAAATCTACCACGACTGGTATTGGCTCCATTGTTGACCACGAGATGATGGATAAGAGGTTCGCAATATACGGAGGAGGATGTGTATGCACACTGCTAAGCTATATCGAACAGGCAATCGGCACAGAACGTACTCAATTCATGGGACCAGCTCGCTATGCATTCATTAGCAACCGGAGAGGTGCGTCAATGATGTTCTCGAATAATCACTCGCTTATTCATGGATGTACAGAGCATCGCACAAGTCCGTCTCCGCATGAAGAAAGCCATGATCGGACTGAAATAAGCCCATTATATCGCATACATTCACCGCTTACATCTGACATCACCTAAGCAAACGCCATCGGACACCTCCTCATATTCCTCGCATTCATCCTCACCTCCTCAACACCCTTGTTCTTCAACGCCTCCGGCCCCATATTCTCAATCGCATAGCCCCCGCTCTCAAACGCCTTCGAGGGCATAGGCTGGCCCCTCAACCTCTGTATCCACGAATACGGTCCATACATCCCCCACCAAGTCTCAGGCATATACCACGGTTCCGGCGCTTCTCCTCTCGGGATATATCGCCCCGTCTTTGGATTCGGGTTTTCGTTGATGGTTTGGTATGGATTCCAAGATGGCCGCGGAAGGAGGAGGTTTCGATAGATGAACTTGCGGATTCCGATGATGGTAGTAAATATCGTGTGGTATGTCGCAGGGGACGCGGGGATACCCATCGAGGAACGAAGTTTATCGTCCATGACGCATATCATGAATTTCTTGGCCGGCTCTCTGAGGAATCCAGGGACTTGGAACGTAATAACATTCATCGTCAAAGTCGCGAGATTATCCGAAGCCCCGTTATGCCGGCTATGCGTATCCTCATATTCCTGTACGTCCAATTAGCCATCGACATACGCTCCTCATCCTCATACGGTTCGAGACATACCTTCCACCACACATACAACTCCCCATAATTCCCAGGTATATCCTCAATCCCCAACCTCTCCCCAATCTCCCTCCAATAAACAAAACTAGCCTCCCTCTCCACCCCCTCAAATCCCCTCCAATCCAACGCTCCGACCATCTGGACGGGTACAAACATAAAACACCCCAACGTATACAACAAATCATCTCGACTAATCCTCGCGCCATACCGGTCGTGAAGCCATTTGGTTCGGGCAAAGGCGAGACGGGCGCGAGTGTGGTCGAGGGGGTTGTAGATCCATTCGGAGATGAGTTGGGCGGTGTCGACGTAGCGTTTTATCATATTTTTGGGGTCGGTGAAGTTGCCGGTTTTCAACAACAACGAAGCAATTGTCTCGATTGCATATGTCTGTATCAAGTTGTCAGCGTTTACCGGCCAGATTGGGAGGACAGCCAGCGATGGTTGTTGACTCAATACATACCCCGAATAAAGCGAATTGGAGTGCGGTCTCGTGCATTGCTGGGCTATCGTAGCTGGCGATATTGACGATAACCTCTTGAGCCTCCAACGGGGTCATCTTCTTCCCAGCATACTTCTTTAATATTGCATCCCTCCGACGATATCTCACACTGCGGACGAGACACACATACAGTCCCAGTCCAACCGCGAACAGCAAAACGTTTCCCATTGTTGGTCGTCGTTTGCTATGTTATATGGTTCCGAGGTTGTCTGTTTGAGCGGTGTCCATTTGGCGACGTCTCGTCCATCGGCCGCTCGTGCATAAGGCCGGCCCGCTCTTGTGGTCTGCCGTTTATCAATCCATATGATGACAAAACGAGTCTTTACGTTTGATACGATACATTCAAGTGTGGGAGCAGGCGTGGGAAACTAGGCCATGGCCCTTGCGACGCTCGGCACTCCTTTACCCAAACAGCACACAGCACACAGCGTGAAGGAATGAAAATAGATAATCCGCACAAAGATTCATTTTTGACTATAGCTATGTTTCCAAGACTAAAACCAAAAAGAAACCCAGTTAAGCATCGCGAATTTAAGCCTGACCCTTGAGGGTACCCAAGAAAGTAGCCTTCTCCTCGGCGGTCTGGAAACGACCGTGACCGAACTTGGAGGAGGTGTCGATGAACTTGAGGGCGACGTTCTCGGTAGCACGGCGGGAAGTGTGAACCAAGAGGGACTTGCGGAGGGTCAAGACACGCTTGACAACACCAGGGCAGGAACCCTTGATCATGACAAAGTCGTTCTTAACCTCACCGTAACGGACGAAACCACCGAGAGGAGTGATCTGCTTGGTGGTAGCATCGAAGTCAGTGGAGGCGTTCTTCTCGTCAACACCGGATCCGATACGGTAGATCTTGTGGTTGACGGAAGTACGGTGGTGGTAACCACGCTGACCGGCACGGGCGACGGTCCAGGTAACGTGGGCCGGGTGCCAGGCACCGATACAAGCGACCTTACGGAGACCCTTGTGGGTCTTGCGGGGAAGCTTCTTGGTACCCCAACGGGCGGTGACACCCTCGAAACCCTTACCCTTGGTGACACCGATAACGTCGATCATCTCGTCCTGCTCGAAAACAGCGTTGATGTCGACGGTCTTCTCGAAGTGCTCGCGGGCCCAGTCGACCTTCTGGGAGATGGAACCACCGTTGACCTGGACCTCCATGAGGTGGGCCTTCTTCTGAACCAAGGGAGTCTTGCGGACCTGGGAGTGAGCGAGGACACGGACGACCTGGCAGTACTTCTTGATACGCTCGAGCTCACGAGTGACGGCCTGGGCGCCCTCGGCGTGCTTCTTGGCGTACTTGGTGAAAGCCTTCTTCTTAGACTTGTACCAGTTCTTGTAGAAGCGACGCTTGAGCTCGTCGGACAAGTGCTCAGCCCAGACGGTGGTGAGGGAACGGAGACCACGGGGGGTCTCGACGTACCCGACGACACCGACGATGACCATAGGGGGAGTCTCGATGATGGTGACGGCCTCAACGATCTCACGCTTGTGCATCTTGGATCCGGGACGGTCGAGGTCACGGACGGTGTGGGTCATACCAGCCTTGTAACTAAAAACGCGATCCTATTAGCATTGGCCTGCGACACTCTCTGGGGAGGACGTAGGCTTACCCGAGGAAAGCGGTCAAGTGGATGGGCTTGGACTGGTCGTCCTTAGGGAAGGACTTGACCTTTCCCCTGTGACGGGCAGCCCTCTTGCGGGGCAGGAAACCAAGCGAACCGTGACGGGGGGCCTGGTCAGAGAAGAATTAGAGAATGCACTTGACGGCGCGCAGAGCAGAGCAGATCAACAGTACCTCGAACTTCCTGTGCGACATCTTTGCTGGGGGCTTTGGGTGAGTTGGCGGTGGACGAGGAATCAGACGACTTTTTGCCCGCTTGTGTGGAGGGGGCCCTCGAAGAATTTCGGTGCCTGGGCTAGCCTCGTGCCTGTTGCGCGTCAAACCCTAACCGTCGCAAGAGAGACCTCCTTAACAAGAGGAGAGGAGAGGAGAGGAGAGGAGAGAGGAGGGGAGAGAGTGTAGAGAGGCTTAGCTGTTGGTTCCTTACGGTGCTTTCCATTCTTGCTACGCTACGCCTTGGCCATAACCCAGGCGGGGTGCATGGAACCGGTCAACGTGCTGCTCATCCCGGTGCTCCTTTCCGTCCGTCCCCCGATGCCCATGCCGTTGCACCTTTCCCTTCCACCCTTTACACCTTCCTTCTCCTTTGACGCGCTTCTCTTGTGGCCGGTCGGGCGAGTGGAATGCGGGGATGCGTGCGCGCTGATTCGTCCCGCTCACGAGCTCACCTCAACGAACACCGAGAAATAAATAGTACCAGAGACCCCCCTCCCCAACCAGCTCCTGTAGAAAGTACCCAATACCCTTACCTGATCCGCCGCACGTACACATACACAACCATGTCTGCCGGCGACTCACAACCCGTTGTCATCGAATCCATCAACGCTCAAACTTATCACCCCCCAAAGCGCGAGCCTCACCACCCCGAGCCCCATGTTCGCGACATCGCCCAGTACCAAGAGCTCTACAAGGAGTCCATCGAGGACCCAGATGCGTTCTGGGGCAAGCTCGGACGTGAACTCCTCGACTGGCACACCCCTTTCACCCGAGTCACCCAGGGATCGTTCGAGCACGGTGACATCGCATGGTACACTGACGGTTACTTGAACGCCTGTTACAACTGTGTTGACAGACATGCTCTCAAGACCCCCGATGCGCCCGCAATCATCTTCGAGGCCGACGAGCCCTCCGAGGGCCGTATCGTCTCCTACTCCGAGCTCCTCCGCGAGGTCTGCAAGTGCGCAAACGTCTTGAAGTCCCTTGGTGTCAAGAAGGGTGACACTGTCGCCGTCTACCTCCCCATGATTCCCGAAACCCTCGTCACCCTCCTCGCCATCGTCCGTATCGGTGCCATCCACTCCGTCGTCTTCGCAGGTTTCTCCGCAGAGTCCCTCCGCGACCGTGTCCTCGACGCCGACTCCAGGGTCGTCATCACCTCCGACGAAGGAAAGCGTGGTGGAAAGACCATCGGAACCAAGCGCATCGTCGACGATGCCTTGAAGGAGTGCCCCGACGTCGAGCACGTCCTCATCTTTAAGCGCACCGGAAACGAGATCCCCCTCGTCCCCGGACGCGACAAGTGGTGGCACGAGGAGATGGCCAAGTTCCCCTCTTGGTGCCCTCCTGTCATGGTCAACGCCGAGGACCCCCTCTTCCTTCTCTACACCTCCGGTTCCACCGGAAAGCCCAAGGGTGTCATGCACTCCACCGCTGGTTACCTCGTCGGTGCCGCCGCTACCACCAAGTACGTCTTTGATGTTCACCCCGGAGACCGTATGGGTACGGCTGGTGACGTCGGATGGATTACCGGTCACACCTACATCGTCTACGGTCCCCTCCTTCTCGGTGCCGCTACTCTCGTGTTCGAGGGTACCCCCGCTTACCCCAACTTCTCCCGCTACTGGGAGATCGTTGAGCGCCACAAGATTACCCAGTGGTACGTCGCTCCTACCGCTATCCGTCTCTTGAAGCGCGCCGGAGACCACCACATCAAGCACGACCTTTCTTCCCTCCGTGTCCTCGGTTCCGTCGGTGAGCCCATCGCTCCCGATGTGTGGCATTGGTACTACGAGAAGGTCGGTCGCGGAAAGTGTGCCGTTGTCGACACATACTGGCAGACCGAGACCGGATCCCACGTCCTTACTCCTCTTCCCCATGCTATCCCCACCAAGCCCGGATCCGCCTGCTTGCCCTTCTTCGGTATCCAGCCCGCGATCGTCGATCCCGTCACCGGTGAGGAGTTGGTCGGCAACGACGTCGAGGGTGTCCTCTGCTTCCGCAAGCCTTGGCCTTCCATCGCCCGTACCGTCTGGGGTGCCCACGAGCGTTACCTCGACACCTACATGCGTCCCTACAAGGGCTTCTACTTCACTGGAGACGGTGCTGGCCGTGACCACGAGGGTTACCTCTGGATCCGTGGCCGTGTCGACGATGTCGTGAACGTTTCCGGTCACCGTCTCTCCACCGCCGAGATCGAGGCCGCTCTCATCCACAACAAGGCCGTCGCTGAGGCCGCTGTCGTCGGTGTCCCTGATGAGTTGACTGGACAGGCTGTCATGGCTTTCATCTGCTTGAAGTCCGGTTACGAGAATAACGAGGCTTTCCGCCGCGAGTTGATCTTGCAGGTCAGGAAGTCCATTGGTCCTTTCGCTGCTCCCAAGGCTTTGTTGGTCGTCAATGACTTGCCCAAGACCCGCTCCGGAAAGATCATGCGTCGTGTCTTGAGGAAGTTGCACGCTGGCGAGCCTTTGGGTGACACCAGCACTCTCCAGGACGAGAGCGTCATCGAGCACTTGATAGAGGTTATCCAGCAGGCCAAGTAAGCGTGGAGTCGTCGGGAAGGATTGGAGGGATTGAACTTTATTTTCAAAAACTTGTTCGAGTGCGAACAGTTATACGATAGGAGTTGGTTTATTTGGGAACATCTTGTTCGTTGGCTTTTGTTTTTACTTTTTAGTATCTGTGCGTTTACGGAGTCTCGCTGGTACGGGGACCAAGCTACAGTGCTTTGGTGTGTATGATATCCGGTCGGTTGTATAGTCTTTCTAGTTCAATGGATCATCCTTTAACATGCTCGTCGTTCTGTTGTGGTTCACCTTGTTGTCGCCTGAGTGTAATGTGAAGTGCCGCAGGAATAGAGCCCGGGAACTCACCTCAATGTACCAACCAGCCTTGCTCACCACGACACCAAGCAATTGTTAATCTGTCAATGGACTAGAATGAAAGCCTAAAAAAGCAAATGACTTTTTCTCAAGGATAGCCCAGGTATCGCCATCTCCATCCAATTTAAGGTTGACGGTGACCGAACGTCGCTAACCTTTCGCTGGCGCGCTTTGGGGTTGCGGCCTGAAATTGAGCCACAGAGACACTCCCTGCAGCTGGCAGTTGTTGACAGAGAGCATCCATCTCCACTTGACAACAAACGGCCATCCCGATTCGCAGCCGCAGAGGCCATTGATCAGTCCGAGTACGAGCGCATACACGACCAGTTCAACGCGTCTTTTGGATTAGGTCACCGCATATATCCCGCGATCATGCCTTCTGGAGCCTTACCCAGCTTCGCTCCATCTTATGCTACCCCGAAACGGCGGACGCAATCGCCTTTAGATGCTATTACGTCTTCACCACGGAGACTATGGGGTGCCGTTGCAGCGATTCTTTTCGTGATTTGGTTCCTCTTTAGCGGGCCGTCAGTGCCAGCAGCACCCATCCCATTCCGTGGTAGTGGTCCAGAAGTCGTGTTGGTGCTTGCGACAGATACCAGGGGACACCAGAAACCGTACTTCTCGAGCGTACTGGAGAACAGGAAGGAGTATGCCAGAGCACATGGATACGGATTTGTCTGGAAGAATGTCGGAGATTATGACTTGGGTGGTGCATCAAACGTACGGTCATTGTTAATGAAAATACGAGGGAATTGATCGCTGACACACCGTACAGGACTGGGGAAAGATCCCGGTATTGCGTGAAGCCATGCTCGAGTACCCCGAAGCTACATGGTTTTGGTACTTGGATCAGGTATGAGACTGCTCAGATGGGCTACGTGTCCCAAGTGCTAATGTTGTTACAGGACGCGATCATCATGAACCCCCAAATCCCTATCACCAAGCACATCCTCGAATCATCCCGACTCAACAAGCTTCTTCTCCGCGACCAGCCCATCGTGCCGCCAGACAGCATCATCCACACGCCGCGCAACACGCCCGCAAAGAACATGGAGCTTCTCATCACCCAGGATCACAACGGCCTCAACACCGGCAACTTCCTCATCAAGCGTGGTGATTGGGCAGAGTATGTCTTGGACGTTATCATGGACCCTCTGTACAGATTCTACAACGGCTTCGACAGGCAGGAGCAGAGCGCGTTGGAGCACATCGTACAATGGCACCCGACGATCTTGACAAAGCTCGGTATCCTAGCCCCTAGGAGCTTGAACTCCTTGTCAGATGCCAGCACCGACATGGCTTACAAGGAGGGTGACTTCGTGGTTCACTTGAAGGGATGCAGTGACTCGCAGCGGAACTGCGACAAGGAGTTCTTGAGGCTGTGGCAGATTCGGGGAAGACTTCAGGACACGAGGAAGTAAATTTAAACGGGGGTAATAGCACATGTACTACATGACATTTAAAGTTGCAGGACAACACGGTGAAACCTCGGATGCCGGTAATCTAGAAGTGAGGACAATCTATATCAATCTCTAGGAAAATAATTGCATATTGAAAGCGTATTCGCACACATTACTATTGGCTTCCGCATCGGAAGTAAATGCTGGAGTGATAGTCTTCTTCTTCCGTTCAGTCAGACGCCTTCGTAGCTGGCGAAGGTTCAGAGTCCACTGCTGCTGGAATAACGATGCTGTCCTGTGCTGGCGGTGATTGTGCGGAACGATTGCTTGATGCGAGTCGCATGTCCAAGGCCTTCAGTGCCAGTGCCCTGTGATCATCAATTAGCTTCATCACAATGTACGCAGCAGTTACCGGATGCTCACCTTCTCCTCTCGGCCTCAGCCCTAGCACCTCCTGGTGCAGCTCTTCCGTGCATCGCACTTCTCTGCTGCGTCTGTCTCTCCACCTCAGCTGCCGAGAACGGCGCAACCACCTTGATTGCGCAGAAGAAGTTGAATATGGGGATGGAAATAGCCGCCACGATGCTTTGAATAGGCTCAGGGAAGAAGTAAGCAAGAGCAAACGTCTCGGATGCATCCCCCTTCATTCCCGTGCCTGTTGTCTGTACGAAATATCAGTTATGGGGTAGCGGGGGACGTGAGAAAGACGCGTACCAGGTCGATCACGTTCGTCTTGTAAAACCTCAAGTACGTCCATGCGGCAAGGAATCCGGTCCATGCCTGAACCACGGCCAAGAAGTTGTAGAAAGGCGCGAGGATGGTGATGACGAGAAGGTAGATTGCGGGCAGACGCTTGACACGAAGGTGGAGGGTGCCCTTGAAGAGGTTGATGGAGTGTTCCGGGACCAGCTGGACGAAGCATACAAGAAATGCAGATTGGATTGAAGTAGATCCTCTGATAGCAGCATAGATGAGATTCGAGTACCCGGTGATTGCGTAGGTGAATACACAAAAAAAGAATGCCACGATATTGGGCATCACAGACACGATTGCGAGGAATTTGGCGAGTTCCCGGGACGACCATGCACGCTCAAGGTATCTTCCACCATTCAGTAACACAATTGCCGTTAGCAAAAGCTGATTGACATCGTTAGCGACGAAAACACTTCGGGTTGACATAGTTGTCATGACGTACAGTGATGATATTCGACTCCACGAACGTCGCCGTCAAGAATGCCCATGGAAAGAAGTAACTCAGAGCAGGCACCACGACCAGTATAGAAGGCTCCGTCCGTGACTCTTCTGCCGACGGGTCGTACGACCGATATCGCAGAAACGCATGGAGAAAGGAGAACACGAACACTCCACCGACGGCAAGACGCGTCGTCGGCGGTACTGAAAAGTTGAGTAACCGCGGCATTGGATGAGTGCGCTCGTAACGCGCGGACTTGCTGTTCTATTTGCTCCGGGTCGTTGAGGGGTGACCGGAATGTGGAGTTGCAGCGGATTGCAGCCGAACGCTGCGGCGCCAAACACGAACCTTCGACAACAGCCAATTGCGCAGTGACAGTCAGCGGAGATCTGAAGAGATTCCGAATCAATTAGAAACGACCTATCGAATTCTTCATACAGCTCCTCGAGCTTCCCGGGACGAACTATAGCAGCCATGAGTCGTCGGCCACGGCTGGCTATCACAAGCGACGAGATCAACTACCTCGTCTGGCGATATCTACAGGAGTCGGGATTCGCGCATACCACCTTTGCGTTCCAATCCGAGTCCGGCGCACAAAACTTCGATGAGCGGTGGGGAGAGCATGTTAAGCCTGGCGCATTGGTGTTGGCCTTGCAGAAAGGGTTGCTGTATAGGGACGCGGAGGAGCATCTGAATGAGGATGGAACAGAGAGGACGTGTCTCGGGCAAATGGGGCTTATTGGTGAGCACGTCTGCTCTGACGTGCCGGCACCGGCTGGCGAATTACCGCCGTGGCCAAGACCATTGTCAACAAAGAAGACGACAAACGACACCCTATCCAACGGCAAAAACTCGGCTCGCGATGGGAGGACACCGCCAGCTGAGGCACAGGACCAGCCTATGGAGGATGCGCCGGCAATGGAGGCGACGAGCAGTCGTGAGTCTGCGGATGAGGCACCACGGAGTATATCAACGGAGGATGTTACGTTGCTCGGCAGTGGTGAGGAGTTGTTCAACTGCGAATGGAATCCGGTACAAAATCAGTTGCTGGCGACGGGTTCGTCCGAAGCGACAGTGAGAATATGGACGGTGCCTCAAACCACGGAGCAGCCGTCAAGCGTGGAGCTTAACCATCTTCCGGCATATCATGAGACGAAGGACATCACCTGCATCCATTGGAACGCAACAGGAACTCTATTGGCAACTGGATCTTTCGACGGACAAGCACGGATATGGACGGCTGATGGTAAACTAAGGCATTCTTTGACTGTTCACTCAGGGCCGATCATGGCGATTCGCTTCAACGCCAACTCGAGTATGCTGCTGACGGCTTCTTGTGATGCCTCGGCCATTGCCTGGGATGTGGAGACTGGGGGCGAGAAGCAGACCTTTACGGCACGTGAGACACCAACGACCGACGTGGAATGGGTGGACGAGGACGCTTTCGTAACATCTGGAGAGGAGGGTGACATGTACCTATGGAAGGTGGGATCGACGACGCCTCTGAGGAAATTTGACGGCCACAAGAGTGACATTAACAGCTTGACATGGGATGCGGCGAGCAAGTTGCTCTTGAGTGCCTCTGATGATGGTACTGCAAAGATTTGGTCCATCGAGCAGAGTACGCCTTTGCACACACTTCAAGCCCACGCAGCCGGTGTCCTGGCAGCAAGATGGAAGCCAAGTCGCGAATGGGGGTCTGCCCCAGTACTAGCTACAGCCTCCAAAGACGGCACAGTGAAGATGTGGGATGCACGGACGGGCAACACTCTTCACACACTCAACTTGCACGACAGTGCTGTCTTTGCTTTGGCATTTTCCAATGACGGAAGATGGTTGGCGAGTGGGGGGAGGGATGGGGATCTCGTGATCTGGAATGTTGCAGATGGCAAGGCGGTAGGTCGTTGGGTACCCGATGAGCCTCGCGGTGAGGAGGGTGGACAGGTGTTCCACATTTCGTGGAGTGGGTCGCTCAAAGCTGGTGATGGTCCATCGAAGATTGCCATTTGTCGCGGAAAACGAAAGTGCGCTGTTATTGACTGGAAGGCCTAAAGACGCCTATTGATACGTTGAATGTCACCAAAAATATTGTTAGCGAGGACATAGGACATTGAAAACGGCAGGGTGGTGGTGTACGGTTATTGATGTGTACGGATATAATGCGTGGTATCATGGTGACTGTTGTCGCTACTCAAACTCAAACATAATGTAATACTACGGAAAGCTACGATAGGTAATGACGGACGACTTTTTCTCTTCCCTCCTTCTGACCGGCAGAATGTTCCATAGTCCCAGTGCTTATTTCCTCCACTTCTTCAAATCCTCATAGTTCTTCAGAACAGTCTCATACTCCTCATCGCCCTTCTTGAAACCAGTGGTCTCCTCCAGAGTAGCCTCGAGTCCCTTCTCCTTGAGCATCTTCTGCAACTCGGCACTCTCCTCATCATCTTTAACATCGAAATAAAACGCAGCAGCAATACCCTTCAAGAGGTTATCGCGGGGCAAACCGTACTCCTTGCACATCTTGGTCGGGCCAGTAAGACGCTCGTTCTCTCCTAACTTTCTCAATGGCTTACGCGAAACACGAGGGAGCTCATCGTGGATGTTGGGATTCGCGTAACGCGTCATGGTCTTCTCGATATACTCCTTGTGCTCCTTCTCATCGAACTCATGCTTCTTGATCAAAGCAGCTCCTGACTCCTCCAATGCTCCACGAGTAATCTTCTTGATCTCCTCATCTTCAATTGCTTCGTTGATTGTCTTGTAGCCCTTGACGAAGCCGAGGAAGGCAAGCATAGCGTGACCGCAGTTCAAGGTAAAGAGCTTACGCTCGAGGAAGGGAGAGAGGTTCTCCTTCAGAGACATTCCCTTCACACCTGACAAATCACCCTTAACCTTGGTCTTGTCAACAACCCATTCATAAAAATCCTCAACACCAACCTCAAGCTTATCTTCTGATTCGAAGGGAGGCACGATACGGTCGACCTCACAATCAGGGAAACCCACGTGCTCCTTAATGTATTTCAAATCCTCATGCTTTCCTTCCAGGGCCTTTTCAATCTCTTCCTTCAACCCCGAAGTCGCACCAACCATGTTTTCACACGCGATGACGTTGAGATCACCCTTCTTCTGTTCTCTACGCTTGCTAATCCCCTTCGCGATAGCAGGCGCAATTCTCTTTAATATCTCAGGCCCAACGCTCGTTGTAACAATGTCCGCCTCAGCAATCGCATCAATGGCATCGTCATCCGTGGACTTCACACCCGACACATTGCCAATCTCCTCCTTCGTCTTCTCTTGATCCAGGATGTGAACAGTGTATGTATCCTTCTTGTTCAATGCATCAATAACCTCGTCCTGGACATCGGCGAACGTTACATGGTATCCGGACTGAACAAGGAGTGGGCCAATGAAACCGCGGCCGATGTTTCCCGCTCCAAAGTGAACGGCGTTCTTCTGAGAAGGCATACGGATCGTAGATTAAGGTTGATGAAAGGTTGTCGTGACGGCAGAGGTTTGGTTTGGTGTTCTTAAGAGTTTCCACACGGATTGTTCAAGTTGGTACGTTGATGGTCAGATGCCCCAGGGAATGAATTCATACCGCACTGACGTCATAGGGTCCCCGTGAGCTTGTGAGAACGAACGACCGTGCATAGTCGAAGGACGATGTTCTATTTGGAATGGATGCGATATTTTGTGCCGACTTAAGCGCTGCGTGCTTGCGAATGGGAATGATGGATATGAGGTGAGGTCGTGGGAAACTAGGGCTCGAGGACTACAGGGTCACGGCATGAGTTAAGCCAGGAGAACGAGGGACAGGGAGTACACAAATACTATGTGTAGATATATCAATTCAAATTCAAGGCTTTTTGCCTCGAAGGACCAGGTCAACTCCGAGGATTCCCAAACAATATCGTAACCAAACAGCGTCAAAGCGCTGCTGCAAAAACCCAAAACCCCAAATACGCAAAGGTAAAAGCGTACACAAATCAAAATGCTAAATGACCCATAACCGTTCGAAAGAGAACCCACTTCACTCTCAACTCAAAACACCACACCCCCTCCCACTTTTTTTTTTTGAGCAAGATCTACTGCTGACCAGCAACAGCCTTGGCAGCGTTGACCTCTGCCAGGGCGACCTCGGGAGCGGGGATAAGGGCGTCGACCTGGAGAGCCTTCTCGATACGCTCCTTGTCACCGGTCAAGATGGCAGCGTGGAAGGAACGCAACAAAGAGTCGACGTCCTCCATGGCCAAAGTGCGGATATCAGCCATCTGCTTGATCTTGGCAGTAACCATCTTGACCTGCTCGTCGGTCATGTCCAAGTTCAACTGCTCAGCACGAGACTTGATGGCGTTCCATCCAGTCAAGCGGGAAGCGATGTGAACGTAACGGGACATACCGAAGTCGGAGGGGTTCAAGATCTCGTAGGTAGAGGGGTTGGCAAGGATAGCCTTGGCATGGATACCGGCCTTGTGGGTGAAGGCACAGTAACCGGTGATGTAGTTGTTGAAGGGAACGGTGATCTCGACAGCGTCGGCGACCAAGTTCTCGAGGTCACGGAGCTGGTGGAGCTTGTACTTGTTCATGACGTACTCCTTGTCGGCGGTGTACATACGGGCGATCAAACCACCAAGGGGGGTGATACCGTTACGCTCTCCGATACCGAGGACGGAGGTGTCGATGTGGGTGGCACCGGCCTCGAGGGCACAGTAGGCGTTGGCAATAGCCATACCGGTGTCGTTGTGGAAGTGGGTCTCGATGTCGCAAGAAACGACACCACGGAGGGTACGGACAAGGTCGTAGACCTGGCGGGGGTTGGCGCAACCGACGGTATCAGCAATACCGACACGGTTGACACCGATCTGGTCAACAGTGCGGTAGATGGAGAGAAGGTCGACAAGGTCGGAACGGAAGGAGTCCTCAGACGAGAAACGGATCTCAATACCCTTGCTCTTGACGAAGTTGATGACCTCAATGGCAGTCTTGGTGATGTAAGCCATGTCCTTTCCGTGGGAGTGCTCACGGAGGAAAGATGAAGTACCGATAACGACATCAACACCGTCAACACCAGTCTCGACAGCAATTCTTGCGTCGTCCATGTGGCATCGAATGTGAGTAAGGATCTTGGCCTTCAAGCCGAGCTTGCAAATCTTCTCACAGTCCAAACGGGACTGCTCAGAAGCAGCGGGGGAGGTGAGCTCGATGTAGTCAACACCAAAGTCGTCCAAAGCCTTGGCGATTTCGATCTTCTTCTCGGTGGTGAAAAACGCGTTGGCGAACTGCTCACCTTCTCTCAGGGTGGACTCGATGATCTTGAAGTTGCGGACATTTGAGAGGAAGTCCTCCGGTCTTGGACCGTAGGGGTTGGAGGCCTTGGGAGCGGACTGCTCGGAGACCTTAACCATCGGCTCGCCGTTTGGTGCGGTAGTAGTGCCGTTTGCTCCAGCCATAGTATATGTGATTTGAGTAAAAGTGAATGGGAAGGGTGGGTGTTGGTGGTGGGACGGATCGTACTTATAAATATTTCTATTGGAGGCGGGTCGCGGGCCAAAATTTGCCTTCGGGCCAGACGTCAAGTCTCAGATGGCTGCGCGATAAACGTTGGCGGGGGGCTGCCGGCGCGAGATGTGATCACCCTGATAAGATGCCTTGAAGGAGAGCGTAACAATCGCGAGATCATCTATTGGATTATTCATTCTACCATGCCTACCTCCTCCTTCGCCTGCCGTGCATTTCCCGCGCTCTCGATGCTCCGTGCTGACTCCTCCAACTCGGCCTTTATCGACTGGATCTCGCCACCTTTGGCTTCGCCCCCCCGCGTCGGGAGCATAGCCCCTACATCTGACTCAGGCAAACCGGTGCCAGACCGCTGACAGTTCGCCGCTGACTCAGTTCATCACCGAATCGTCTCCCTTACTTTGAGCACAGCCTCGCTTTGTTACTCACTCTTTGCGCTCTGGCCCTCCTCTCAGGCCATCTCGTTGACTAAGCGCGCGCTTCCTTCTGCAGCTGGTGCACCGCTCTGACGGACGAACGCAGTAGTCAACTGCTAAGGGAAGCTGATCTTGCCATGACGCACTGTGTGTCCATGACACTACGTCAATTGCCATTCACCGGGGTTTTACTACACTGAACCCCACTTCCCGCTTCCCTGTCTTTTCGTTGACGTTCAGATCTCACGCTCGAGCTCGGGCTTACCTTCTTCCATCCAACCCCGGCCATGATCGCCCGTCAAACCAAACCTTAAACGAAATGCCAATCTGCACGTAAAATCAAAAAGGTATTACTATTTATAGCGACTATATACAGAAATTCCAATACAATCTTACATATCGTTCCCCACCTTGCAATTGCAATTACGGTTATACCCAATTCAAATCCAAAAACGCAGATATATCCTTTTTACTCCCCTACTCCGTGTCATTCTCCCACATTCACATACCTTACTCCTCGTCGTAATCTTCGTCAACCTCGACTTTTCGTGCAGCGGGAACAGGTTCCTCTTCCTCAGCAGCTGGTTCAGGCTTTTCCTCCTTCTCCTCGACTGGTGCAGAAGTCGGTGCGGTAGCAGGAGCGGGAGCAGCCGGGGCAGCTTCAGATGCAGATGCAGATTGTTGAGGAACCTCGGGGGCAGGCGGAGAGATCGGCGCAGTAGTAGCCTGCTGCACATCCTTCGCCTCCTCCTGAACACTCTCCGCAATCTTCACAGGCGGCGCATTCTCCATCTGCACATCACCCTCCGGCTCCTGTCGCTGTTCCTGTTCCTCCTTAGGCTTCACCACATCCGGACGCACAGGCACAGCGTCCTCCATCCTCTCATCCCGATCCCTCTGCTGGTTGTTGTCCCTGCTGTCCCTGTTATCCTCCCTCCTCTCCGGAACATCAGGCATAACAATCGCAGCCAACGGTCTCTGATCTCCACTCTGTCTCCTATCACCACGGTCACCACGGTCACCATGGTCATCACCTCTCTGCTCACGAGGCGCAGCAGGCGAATCCCACTCCCTAATACTCCTCTTCTCGCCCGTCCTAGCTTCGTCACGAACAGAGCTCTCTCCCCTCATCGGCAACGGGTTCGAAATCAACGAACTAAGTCCACTCTGCTGCAACTGCGTCTGCGGCGGAGGACCTCCAAGTCCAAGACCTGAAGCACCATGAGAACCAGGGGTACTGACGGGAGGCAGCTGCCCGCCGTGATACCCACTTGGCCCTTCACGATCGTGTCTCAGGAACGGCGGCTGCGGACTCGCTCCACGCGGCACATCCTCATCCATCCTTTCCCGATCCATAATCGGCGCAAGCTGTCCAAGACTTGCCTGCATAGGCGTACCCATACCAGCACCAGGCGCAACAGGCGGCAACCTCTCACCACCCATCGAACCAGGAGTTCCAGGACCAGGAGGTCCACCGGCGACCGCAGGCGGAGGCGGCAATCCGGGTCCACCAGCAGGTCCATACGGGCTCTGATTGACACCACGCTGGTCGTATCCCCTTCCCGCACCACCAGCTCCAAAGGGCGGTGGAGGCGGGGGACTCCTAGGTCTACCCTGAGGTCCAGAAGGTCCGGAGCCGTTGAGTGCGGGAGGGAGTCCAACACGTGCCAACTCGCTCGGAGGACCAGGGGGCGCAACACGATTCGCCGCAGCCGCAGTACCCCACTCACTGGGCGCCGCACCAGATGGAGCAGGACCCGCATACGCCGTAGGGTTGATGTCCTGCGTAAGAGGCGGCGCACCCGCACCACCCGGCGCAGGCCTAGGTCCCTGCGACGCCTGACCACTCCTCAACAACTGAAGACGAGTCTTGATATGAGGGTTCGTCGGGTCAAGTTCAGAAGCGCGGGTATACGCGTCGAGCGCGTCAGAAATCTGGTTGTTGCAGCTTTCGTAGAGGGTACCAAGGTCGTACCAGACTTCGGAGATATAGGGGTTGAGACGAATGGCGCGGGAGTAGGCGTCGAGGGCGTCGCGGTATTGGTTGATTTGGTAGTAGAGGACACCGATGCTGCACCAGAAGGTCGGATTGCGACCGTCGCGGTAGACAGCTTGCTGGTAGGCTTCGTAGGCCTTGGAGTAATTGCGCTGCTGCATGTAACACCTTCCGAGCAAATACCAGCTCTGCGCATCCTGTCCGTCACATTCGAGGGATTTGGTGAGGTACTGGATAGCCAAATCCTGGTTCGAGAAGGACGAGGATTGCTGGTGGTACAACCAACCCAACTGTTGCAGGACCTTGGAGTGATTGGGATTCTCGGCCAAGACGCGCTCATACGCCTCCTTGGCGGAGGTGTACTCCTTCTGTTGCTCATAGACGTGTCCGATCTGGAACCAGATGTCGATCTCGGTGAGAGGGCGAGGAGGATTCTTCAAGATGTAGCGGAAGCACTCCAAAGATTGAGGGTAGCGCTGTTGCTGCTTATAGATGATACCAAGACGGAAGTAGATCTCGTTTGCCTTGTCAAAGTTAGGATCCATCCTCATGACCTGACTGAACGCCTCCTCTGCGTGCTCGAAAGATCCGTATCTGTCATACAGTATTCCGATTCCATACCACAGCTTGGGTTCTTTCGGGTTCTGAAGGTGGTAGAGCGCTTGCTGGTAGGCGCTGTAAGCCTTCTGAAGGTCGTCCATCATGAGGTAGCAGTGGCCGAGGGAACCCCAGGCGTCACCGTTCGACTGATCGAGGTTCAAGATAGACTGGAAGTACTCGACGGCGCGAGGGTACTGCTGTTTTTCGCGGAGGATAGTAGCGATGTGGTTCATAGCTGGGATCGAGTACGGGTTTTGACGGAGCGCAGACTCATAACTCGTCAAAGCGCGATCGAGATCATTCATCAACTCGGCGACATTACCTATCCCATCATCAGTACAACATTCGAGACGCGACGGATCGGGTCGAGGGAGCCGAGGACGCGTTTTGCGACAAAGGAGTAACATACCGATCTGCAACCAAACCTGTTCATTCACGCTCGCGAGCTTTTGCAAGGGCGTCAAGTTCTGTTGAGAACCGGCATTGGCCTGAGGTTGCGCAGGGCCTTGAGGCGGGACGGGACCAACGGCGGCACCGTTCGGCATGGGAGGAGGAACAGCGGTGGCAGGACCAGGACCTTGAGGCTGGACGACAGATGCCATTTGTCAATTTGTCGTCTTCTCGTTGCAAGCTGATCGAAGACTGATCTCGGGGGTGTGTTGGTGGTGGGGGTGATCTCTTGGGGTGACGGATCAGATTGAGTTGACAGGTCTGCATGTAGTCAGTCTGGCAAGAAGCGCGAAAACGGACGATGGCCCCGGAGGATGTGCGGGTACCAACTTTATGAACTCGTGGCGCTTTTTTCTTTTGGGAGTGAATGCTGGATGTTATTCTAGCAGAAAGATAACTGAAAGAAAAGGAGAATGATCATCTCTACTCTCAGTATCTGTCTGCTCAAGAATACGTGGTCGTGGCTCAGCTGCATATGCATACCCGTATACGAACCGAACGCCAAGCTTCTTTGATGTCTCGGTAAACGCGTAAGAATAGTAGTAGGAATCGAAGAACTCACTTCGCCTCTTATAAGAACCCTGGAACGTTGCTGGTCATCGTCCACTACAATCATTCACCCAGAAGACACCCGGTTCACACCCCCGCTTATCCAGCTTACACGACTCAGCCTCGTCTTCATATCAGCTACAGTACGCTCGGCAACGGTACCCTCCCGTTACACCCGGTCGACATACAAAAAGGACTCGGGCGATCCATCTTACTTACGCGTGGCCAATACCAAAGGCATATATCCCCACGTCACCCCACAGTCGTCGATAACACAGCATATACCCACTACACATGATCAAAGGGTGTCGACCAACAGCATTCATCCTCGCCTTCCTCCTCTTCCTCGTACATGTCGCTCTTGCACGCTCACCAAGACCGCCACCCATCACAACGATTTCACTCATTCACAATGCCTCACTGACATCTGTTACGCCGCTGATCGACCAATCCTCCATCTACGGCCTCGAAGATGAGACAACTCACCACCTTACCTTCCGTCTCCCGGGTCACTACAAGTCAGAGTACGTAAGGCTCTCGCTTCACCCGAACTCAGATATCCTGCACCCAGAGGCACATATCGACCACATCGACACCGACGGATCTCTTGTCAAGAGAGAGTTCTTCGCAGACGACGAATCTCTCCGCGAGATCGCATACAAAGGTCGCGCATCCGTTCTGACCGAGCAGAATTACTGGAGATCAACCGGATGGGCACGAGTTGTCCTCCTACGAAAGAGCGCGCGGGATCCTGTTTTCGAGGGTGCATTCCAGGTTGACGGGGAGACTATTCAGATTCAGACGCAGCAACGGTGGGCATTGACTGCTCGGCCTGAGGATGTGGAGTTTTATGCTGGAGCGGAGGAGAAGATGGTTGCCTGGCGTGACGCGGATCAGGGAACGTTGGAGAAGCGAGTGTTGGCTGAGGACACGTGTTCTCTTCATGGTCTGGATGTGCTTGACAAGCGGTCCCGAGAAGGTTACACGCCCTCCTCCGAATCACCTTTCCTTGACATCAACCTCGACCTTGTAAAGCGTCAGTCAGACACCGGTAGCACTGGAACCGCTTTTTCCTACTCTCAGCTCCAAAGCACCGTCGGTGAAACCACCGGATGTCCCACAAAACGTATGGTCGCCTACGTTGGTGCAGCAGCAGATTGCTCCTACACGACTCTCTACACCAACGAATCGTCTACCCGCCAGCACATCATCAACCTCTACAACACCGCCTCCCAACTCTACGAATCATCCTTCAACATCTCGCTTGGTTTGCTCAGTTTGACGGTCAGTTCGGCGGATTGTCCCACGACGGCTAGTTCGAGCGCGCAGTGGAACGTGGAGTGTTCGGATAGTGTGAGTATCGATGAGCGATTGAGCTTGTTCTCGGAGTGGAGAGGTGACAGCTCGAGGAGCGGTGACGGAATCGCCGTGTGGACCTTGTTCACCACCTGTGATACCGGAGCAGAGGTTGGTGTCGCATGGGTTGGATCACTATGTCAAGGTACCGCCTCCGCATCCTCCGATAACGGGACGTTCTACTCAGGCGCGAGTGTCGTGGCGTCGAGTACGCAAGAATGGAAGGTCCTCGCACACGAAGTCGGGCATGTCTTCGGTGCCGTACACGATTGTACATCGAGCACATGTGGTGGATCCACCGTCTGTTGTCCTCTGAGTTCAAGCACCTGCTCCGCTAATGGTGCATACATCATGAACCCCTCCACCAGTACCAACACGAATGCGGATACCTTCTCACCTTGCTCGATTGGAAATGTTTGTAGTGCCATGCTCAGGTCTATCACGGATTCCTCGTGTCTGGTGAGTAACCAGAACGTCACCCTCATCACCTCTGGCGAATGTGGAAATGGAATTGTGGAGGATGGGGAGGACTGTGATTGTGGTGGTGAAGCTGGGTGTGGAGACAATACTTGTTGCGATCCCACGACTTGCAAGTTCATCAACAACGCGGTATGTGACGACGCGAACGAGGCATGCTGTACCAATTGTCAGTTCTCATCGAGTACGACTGTGTGTCGTGCCTCGATTGGAGAGTGCGATTACGCGGAGTACTGTCCCGGAAACTCAAGTTCGTGCCCGAGTGACAGGTTCAAGGATAACGGAGATTCGTGTGGTAACTCCAGCCAAGGACTTGCCTGTGCCTCGGGCGTATGCACGAGTCGCGACTTGCAATGTCAGCAGGCAAACATCACTGGTACGATTGGCGAAGCATGCAGTGTCAGCTACAACCCTTGTCTGCTTTCTTGCTACTCCAGCCAGGACTCAAACACCTGTGTCCTTAACAACCAGTACTTCATCGCCGGTACCTCCTGTGGGTCAGGCGGCTACTGCTCCGGCGGTCAATGTGTTGGACAATCCGAGTTTGGTGATGTCGGGTCTTGGGTCGACAGGCACAAGAGTGTGGTGATTATCATCGCGTCCGTGATTGGAGGGCTGATCATCGCCACTATTGTTGCGGGATGTTTGAGGCGGAAGATCATGGCGAGTAGGGCGAAGAGGATGGCAGCTGTGCAGACGGCTGCGATGCCGATGAATACGTATCCGGTTCAGCAGCAGGGCTGGCAGCCGCAGGCTGGGTACAGTGATGTGCCGCAGAATGGTGGTGGATACTACCCACGGTACTCTGTGCCGCCGAGTTTGCCTCCGCCGGCGTATCACCGTTAAACACCTTTATTTCAGTTTTAGGTAGCTATTTATACTTTTTGGACTTTCTTGGGATACGTCTTGGATAAAGTCAGGTCAACGAATACGGCGTAGCATATCGGAGCAAAATGAACATGACTTCATTCGGTTTGGAAACACGTTTTCTATCGTACATTATTCGTTCGGTATCCTCAAGGTATATCGTTTCCCCATGGTATTGGTATATTGCAAGATGCTCAAATCCACTAACGTGATAACTGTCGTGACTCTACTGCGGAGTGGAAGCTCCTGCCATACCTGGTAGGCGGATGCCCTGGGGGATGGTCATTGCCCGGCGGCCAAAGTTCTCGTCGAGGTCCTGTGAGAGAGGTTAGCAATGACCATATCATCGTGGCGTACTTCTTACCAAAATCATCTTAAGCGCGTTCTTCGACCTGAGGTACGGCAAAGACGGTACATGCGACTTCTTCCTATCCTCCTCACCCGCCGCACTGATCTGCAACGCAGACTCAGAGTGAGCGGTACTTCCTGGCATTGGCAACAAACGCTGCAAGAACTCGTATGCGGCGAGGGTACATCCGAACTGTGGCGACGAACGGAGAATACGTGCCGGGCCACCCTTGAACAAAGCCTTGAAACCCTCTTCACGTACAATGGTGGTAGCGGCGTGGTGAATGTTCCTGTAATGTGTCTGGCCCTTTCTCGACTCCGCTTGCAGACGGGTCTTGATGACATCTGCGGGGGTGGTGAGGTATGCTGCTGGCATACCCGCAATAGCACCAGCCATCAAGAGTTGAGGGATACTCAGCGTCTTTCCTGGTCGTTCGCCAAAGTAGTCCTTCTTCAAGTGAGCGTAGGTAGGGAAGTAAATGGCGCTGAAAGGGATATCACGCAACAAACATGCGGAAGCACCCTTGTAGAGACCCAACAGACCCAAGTTCCTGACGATCCAGGCAGCAGAGCGGCGAGGGACGTCGGAGGTCTTGGCAAGTTCACCTTGGATCTGGAGACGAATTTTGACGATTTCGAGAGGGTTGGTGAAGACCTGTATGCAGCGTTAGGACCTTCATGAGGCGACTTATCGACCCGCGAACATACCACTTGACATCCACCAGCCATAGCACCAGCCAAAATCTCCATGCGCAGCGCAATGTTACCATTATCATCCATCGCCTTTCCTCTCACCAAATCATTCACCGTCAACTTAATCGCCTTCTCAGGTGCAACACCGATCAACTGCGGTCCCAACCCACTATACAACCCGATCGCTCCCTCATTCCTGATAACCTTCCTGAAACAATCAAGGGAGTTCTTGTACATCAATTGACCCACCACGGCTGATCTCTGGTTCTGCATACGGGTCTTGACCAAGTCGATGGGGTAAACGACCGTGGCACCGATACCTCCTGCGACGGCACCGAGGGCGAAGTGGTGGACACTTTCCAGGATTTGAGTGAGGAAACTCCCGCTCTCGGTGGTCTTCTCCTTCAACTTGTGGATAGCGGCGACACCACGAATCTGCGCCTCGAGAGGCTCTTCCCATGCTGGGTCAATCACGCGGGAAAAGTCATCGAGACCAAGACGGGCAGCCGACGTCGCATCGGAATTAATACCGGCAAAGTGGAAGAGGATGTCAACTTCCATGGGGGAGAAGAGAGAGAAACGAGTGGTAAGTGCGGATTCGTTGAGGAAATCCTCTTTGCTGATTTTGCCGTCATGAGACTTAGTACATGCGTTCTGGACAATGCGGTCGATGACGTCCATTTCTGTATGAAGTTGAGTCAGTATATCACATAGGATATTCGATTACATCCATACCTCTGCAGACATTGTGGAAGGCACGGACATCGGAATACGAGATCTTCGCGCCAGGTGAAAGATCACACAGAGTATGAAGGTTCTCCAACAGATTATCCGACAACTTATGCTTCGCCGTCTCGATGATAATCCTCTGGAACTCCCTCGGCTCGATATAACCGTCACCATCCTTGTCAAAGTAGTGGAACGCCTGTCGAATCCTCTCTCCCTGCAATCCCCTCAACATCTGTCCGAACTGGTGGTAAGTCATTGAATGTCTCGACTTCTTCTCTCCGATGTACAAACTCGCCCAATTACAGTCCCAGTTGAACGGTATCGCGTCAGAGCTCTTGTATTTGTCGTAGAGTTCTCGGAACTTGTGGTAGTCGACCTTACCATCCGGTCCGGGCTCGAAGAAGCGGAAAGCGATTTCATAGTCAGCATCGGCTTTTGAGAGAAGAGATTGGAAGTAGTGAAAGTCGTGGTGATTCACGAGGCCGGTACGAGAGCGATCTGCGATGCGGAAAAGAAGCGCGAATTGTTCGCGAGGGATCTTGCGGTAGTCTTCGTCGTCAGGAGCAATGGCATTGACCTGTTCGCAACACGTAAGCTGACAGCAGCAGCAATCACTGAGATGAACATACAAAGTCCATCTGAGTCATGTATTTCTCCCCATTCTTCTCCAAGGACGCATGCTTCTCAAAAGTCTGCTTCGTGTTCAAATGCGCATCTCCTCCCCACAGGGTGAACGGTTTACTGGCGAGCGTGGTAGCCATTGCGGGTATATGCGATGATCAGGTCCTGACAACCGTATAAATAACGACGAGCAGGACGTCCAATTGACCTGGATGAATGCGTTGGGGGAATGGATATGATCGGGGACCAGGTTGACTTCGTCGAGCTCAGGGTCTTCGTTGCTGCACGTCAGAACCGCGGAGAGAAGTGCGGGGAGCTTCAGGGGATCGCGATTCGCGGCTGCGCGAGGAAAGGGAAGAACCGGAGACGGGAATGAAAGCACATGACAACACATTTGTAAGCAATTTAAACCTCGGAAACGGCTGTTATTTGCTGTATGCTCATATTCTTCATATCGGGTTGCTGGATCGTTCACCTGATGGGCGGCGGGCCGGTTGTGGAGTAGGCCTGTTTGATCTTCGTGATCGGGAAAAGGTCCGCTACCGGTTCCGTGAGGTGCTCCACTTCTCCGGCGGCGTAAGAAAGCTTCCGTGTTGTGAGGTAATCTTCCAGGTTTTGGCGTGAACTTTCGAGATAAACTGTTGCGTGTGGGTCATGATCCGCTGAAGTGTTCCGTTAGAAATCATGTAGTTGTTACTGAACAACTAGCTCCTCCGTGTTCCCACGCCTTTCACGACATCGCATGTTTTGAGAGCACAACCTCTTTACCAACATATTTCTGCATTTGAGATGGTTCTTTGAGCGACGCACTGAAAAGAGAAGAGTGTCTATTGAAGCCATGTATCCATAACCCATGCCATAACCCGTGAACCCTAACAGTAGCCATACCCATCTAAACCATTACAACCTATAACGCCCAGCGAACTCATATCGTACCGCTTCTAAATCCACGCAAACTGCTCCTGCACCTCATCCCCACCCTCCACAACCGCAACACCTCCCCTCATTCCCGCACCCCTAACAAACACCCAACTCCTCCCCAACGTACAAACACCCTCCAACCCCACACACCTCTCCCCCATCCCCTCCAACCACGGCCTCGCCGCCGTCACCCGATCCAAACAATGTTCCGAACTCCACCAGCAAAGCGTCATACACGTCGTCCGAATGTTCAACCACCGCAGCAACTTGAACTTGGAGAGTGAGAGAACGAATTTTTGGCGTTGGTCGACGTGGCAGTCAGCGTCGGTGGAGAGGTGGGTTAGGTGCGGGAAGATGGCGCGGATGGAGTCAATGACGGAGGAGTTGACGGTTTTGAGGCCGACGTGGAGGCGGCGAAGGGAGTTGCGGAGGGGGGAGGAGGGGGTGATGCGCCAGGCGATATCTTCCCATGTCGGCTGTGCGTGTTGCGAGAACGCCTGCAAACTCAACTGGCGGAGCGGCAACGTCTGTGAGAGAGACATGATGGATGTGTACTGTTTCAGCGCACTCGCTTCATCGGCAAATTGAACACAGCACGAGAGCGACTCGAGGGAGGAGAAAGGCGAGCGTTCGTTGGTGTGAAAGAGCCACTCCGTCATGGCCTCCGCCTCGGGACGTTCGTGAAGTGTAGAGAACCTCAGACTTCGGATGTTGTGCGGGTGGGCGAGTAATTTGGCCAGGGCGCGAACGCTGAAGAGCATGTTGTGTAGCGTGAGAGTCTGAAGTTCCTCGAAGGAATGGTCGACGAGGTCAGCAATAACGTCAATAGCGACGCTGGAGGAGTGAAAAACAGACAAGTGCTGAAGGCCCGGAGAAGCGTTGATGACTTCAAGCACGCTCTCGTTGAACTGTGCGCTGCCGGACTCGTCGCAACCACTCAACTTGAATGTGCGCAAGTTCGAAAGTCGGTTCATCCCAACCAGCTTCTCCGGATCACGTCCCTTGAGGTCAAAAATGACGTCCCTTAACCTCGGACACCTCTCACGAAGGATGTCAAACAGCGTCGTGATATCAACGTTCGTCCCCTGCCATAGCACCGTCTGCAACATCGGCATATTCAACACCGCAGCCGCAACAAGCAAATGATTCTCCGCGCTCGAAGTTCTCTGAAACCCAAACTCGGTCTCCGCACCCATAAACCTGAGTATCCTCACCCCCTGCCCAACCCTCGCATCCTCCACGATCTGCCTCAACACCTCATAACTCCTCCCACCCTCAAACATTGTCTTCCAATCCACCACCAGACGCGAGTGCAACACCTCCGTCCCCGCCGCATACAACCGACGCGACGCGAGGTTCCATGATCTCAAGGAACGCGTATCGAGGCTCTTCGCGACGAGGTGAAGGAGCTCGAGTGGGAGATCGGTAAGGATGGGTGGGGTATATACCGATGTTTTCGTGAACTCGAGGGCCGGGAAGGGAGTCAGTCGAAGGAACCTGACCGACCGCGAATGACGTCGGTCGGGGAGGCCGGGCATGTATATTGATCAAGAAGGGTCCAGAAAATATGTGATACTGTCGCGGATCAGCACGGCTCGTAGCATACATCCCGAGGGAACGTACAGCGAAAAGAACAAGAGCAACAAGCAAGAAATACGGATGGTTAAGGAATAGAAGTGGTAGAGGTGGTGGTTAAGAATACAAACACAACAGAAAAGGCGAGTGAGACAAGGGGGTAGGTAGGGTTATCGTAGCCGCGAATCTGCCGCAGCAAAGAATGGGTATGTAGCGTAGATTTCCCGATCCGGTAGAGTACTGCTCACTAGCCACATCGCACGGCCACAACACCGTACGTACGTCGAAGCTGGGGGCCTCGGAGCGGGATCGGTAATTACGCGTGAGGAATACAGTAACGATGAATCAGCAACAAGAGCAGCCTCAGCCTCAGCAACAGCGCCAACAGCAACAAGGGCCAGACGCTGCGCTCTTGGCATCAAATATCTTCACCACATCAGCATCTCTACTGGAATGTGTGGACAGTGAGTCTATCTATACGTCGATCCAGACAGATCTGCCTAGCTAAACACTCTGCGCGCGTGAAGAGAAGCTCGTTGTCGTTTTGCGCGATGGGAGGAAGTTGATTGGTGTCCTGAGGTCGTTTGATCAATATGGTATGATCTGTTCGCCCTGATGGGGTTGATGAAGTGTTGATGGTGGTGTGTGCAGCGAACTTGGTGTTGACGGATACGACTGAGCGGATACACTATGCCGACGTCTACGGTGACATCCCTCGAGGCGTATTCATCGTCCGCGGAGAAAATGTCGTGCTACTAGGCGAAATCGTACGTCCCTGCCCCTCCCCATTTCCCCAAATTTAACGTGCTAATATCACGGACAGGACCTCGACAAAGAAGACACCGTCCCCCTGCGGGAAGTACCAGTCGAACAAGTCTTCGCCCTGCAACAACAAGAAAAGGAAGCGAGGGTCGCGAAGGAGAAGTCACGGAACAGGGTTTTGCATGATCTTGGGTTCTCGGTTGATTGGAGTAGGGATGACATGTACTAAACCCTTGCGGTTCATTGATATGTTCTCGTTGATACCCTGAGCCTCTTCTTGAGAGCTATGCTTTGCTGCCGACTTAGTGCAGCCGTCCGATGGACATGAGAGAGAGAAAATGAAAGAACATGATGCAACCACTCGCAATGTCAAGATCTCGTGTAATACTTCATCCCGAGCCAATTCACTACAACCCAGACCCAAACCACAGCACCCGTCAACACCACCAAATGCGTCCAATATCTCTCCATAGGAAAGCCCCAGTCATCCTTTGAAATATCTTGTGCGGATGTCTGTACACTCAATTAGCTCCTGCGCAAACATAAAACGCATACTGAACGTACCGAGCCGTAAAGTACCCAATCCCAAACGCCGAATACTCCGCCAATGCCAAGCAAAAAGGTGACCCAAGTCAATACCAATAGTACCCAGCCCCATGTTACTGTCAACTCCTCATCCGGGAGGCGCCGTGGACTTGTTGGGCGGGCGGGCTGCTGAGGTGGTGGTGCATTCATCTCATCATCAATCTCAACTTCAATTGCGAAAAGACAGAAGACCTCGTCGAGAAAAGGAGGGTATGGGTTGGGGGGGGGGGGGGGGGGGGGT